GTTCATAATTCTATTTTGTAATGAGACATTTACTTTCTAATCAGTGTCACATATTTGAGGTTGGATGGATCCGTTGAGCCAGACAAGCGCTTTGAAATTGTGAAAACCTTCAATTCAGACCCGACTATTGATGTCTTACTTCTTACAACACATGGTAAGTTTATTATTTATCACTTGTATGTCATGTAATTGAATAGTTTCTGTTTTAAACTGTGGAACTCAATGCAGTTGGTGGTCTTGGTCTGAACCTGACATCAGCTGATACTCTCGTGTTTATGGAGCATGACTGGAATCCAATGCGGGATCATCAGGTATATAGCACGTGTTTTTAGTCCATGTTTGGCTTAAAGAAGGGGAGAGGAGGAGACATGATTGACGTGTAGTCAAGGAAAATGTATGCTACGTATATATAAATATGTGATTCTATATAAGTTTTGTTTTATTTAAAAATATTTTACTTTTTATGCATAACAAAAAAGTGATGAACATTTTAAAGCTCCATATTTGCCCCCTTTCCCCATAATCCCTTAACTGGGGAGTAAGATATGAAGAGTTTAGAGGTTTTGATAGCTTCCCTATAAATCTATAATGGGCTGCCATTGCAATGCAAAACTCAAAATGGGATTTGGCTTTGTAAACATATTATAATTCATTTTGTATTAGAATCCTTGATTGAGCACGTGGTTGTCTCCCAACTTTTAACAGGCAATGGATAGAGCGCACAGGTTGGGCCAGAAAAAAGTGGTCCATGTCCATCGCCTAATAATGAGAGGAACCTTGGAAGAGAAAGTGATGAGTCTCCAGAGGTTCAAAGTGTCGGTTGCTAACGCGGTGATTAACGCAGATAATTCAAGCTTGAAAACAATGAATACAGACCAGCTGCTTGATCTATTCACACCGGCAGATGGCAAAAAGGTGCACATGCCTTTGCTTTCATGTTTTCTGTTGAGCATTTTCAGTTGTATTGGTAAGACCCTGAAGGGCTTACCTGGCAAAGTTGGAGCAGGCAAATCTTGTCTCCCCTTTGTCTAAGCTGCTCCTGAGCTTAATTAATGTGTTTGAGATTATGAGTTGAGCTTGACATGAGCATGTAAATGAGGGTATAATTGTCATTGTGTCCATCCGGATTTATGCATTTGCAACATTTAGAACAACAGTAGTTGGAAGTTGGAATTCATTTCCTTGCAAAGAAGGGAAATGTGGATGTTGTTACACACATTTTTTCTTGTCAGGACTTGTTACTATCTCTTTTTTTTTTCAGGCTCCAAATGTGTTAGAGAGAAGTGACAAATTTGAAGGAGAACCAAAAGTATCCCGTGGCGGAAAGGGGTTAAAAGCTATTCTTGGAGGATTGGAAGATCTCTGGGATCAATCACAGTACACTGAAGAGTATAATCTGAGCCACTTTTTAGCCAAGCTAAATGGTTGATTCCTAATATAGCATGCTCTGCATTTTTGCTTTTCTGTCATGGCTGTATGCTAGAGCTAAGAAGGTAACATCTCTCTCTCTCTCTCTCTCTCTGTCTCTCTCTCTAGAAAAAAACTAGGACACTTGTTTCTCAATAACTTGCAGAATCATCATATAACCAACAACTGACCAAGTAAAATTTCTCAGAGAAGTAGGATAGTGTGGGTACATTAGGCTTAGCCCTACTTGACGATAAAAAGGCTGTTTTAAAGTGACCCCTATTCAAAAGCAGAACAACATGCAAATAATACTCCTTCCATCCCAATTTAAATTGCATGTTTTGGTTTCTGATGTTTGGCTGAAGTAATTTTCAAGACAATTTATTTGAGCATTTGGATGGAACTAAAAAATAAAATGTACATATTTAAAAACTCCATCAAAAGTTATACAAAACAAAAGGTGACATGACTATTATTTTATCAAATGACCAACGAAAATAGGGAAAGAAAGTGAATAAAATTTGATCGTGTGAATAGTATACAAGTAACTTAATTTGGGATGGAAGGAGTGGTTAGTATAAGTAACACAAATAAAGGAAGAACAAAAACACATCATACCAACACTAACAATTCAAACACAAAGCATAAAAAGCACACAAGCTACATAACTAGTCTTCATACTAAATCCTAAAGGTCTACCCTACTACTCTAATCCTTTACCCCCATGCGGTCCTATCTAGGGTTATTTCCTCCATGGTATTCATTATATGTTTTTTTTGCAGCAACCACGAAATCTGAATTGGATGGAGGCAGTACTGCCCAGTAGTCCCCACACAGTATTCGTCAAATTCAGAGATAACCGGTGATTTGACCTTCATGCCCTTGTACAAAGTGTATATTCCCCCCAATTTTTTTCGAGATTAGTGATAGTCTCTCCTTTGTTTCTTCTCCAACATGAAATCAAAATTTTTGAGGCTGCTAACTTAGAGATGTCCCATTATTCTGAGAGGGCACTTGTGCTTCGTAGTTGGAGAAGGCAGGTACTTGTTGGGTTAGGGGAGGAAATTTTGTAAATTTTGAATTATTGTATATACATTGAGGATTATTTATTTAATTATATGAGAAAAAAGAAAAAAAAATATGGGAAAAAAGAAAAAAATGTCTTGATATGAAACTTCTCCCCCCATTTAGTTGAATCTAGTCTTGTTTGATTTCATTGTGTGCTCTCAGTGCTTTGGGTGTTAGTTGCTACCATGAGTATGTATGCATCCTGTTTTTTGTGCTATTGCTTATCTGTCTACTTTTCAATTAGGGCTAAGGTTTGCATACTCACCCACCCACCTTCTTTATTTGACTTGGATATTGGAGTATATTACTGCAATCGTCCTAAATTAATCTTCTCGGTTACTATTACGGCTTAATAACTTATGTTTGTATGCATGTTTTCGTTGTTTATTTGATAAAATAAAATATTCATATCACATCTTGCTCTAGAATTTTTTACATAGTTTCAAGCAGTGTAAGTTGTTCTCTTTCCATCTCAATTCAAATTGCTTGTTTTAGTTTATGATGTGTGACAGAGGTTATTATCAAATCATTTTCTATGAACATGGTGCCACTTAAAAAATAAAAATTACATATTTAAAAACTACATCAAAAGATTTATAAAAGTAGCGGTGACATAATTATATTACATTATTAAATGACTAACAAAAATAAAGAAAATAAATAAATAAAGTTTTATCTTGTAAATAATAAAAAAGTAATTTAATTTAAGACGGAGGGGTATTTTTATTTCAATATTAATTTGTAAATAAATTCATTTTAAATTAATTGAGAATGAATTTTTTTAGAATGAATTCTCTAAGTGGATGTTTATAATAGGGGGTTTAATTAATGTATTGTTTATTTCAATTTATTTTTTGTGGTTCTCTATTACTCTCTCTCTCTCTCTCTCTCTCTATATATATATATATATATATATATATATATATATATATATAGGGGGGGCGGTTCAGGTGAGAATGCACCTTGGTGAAAGAAATAAGAATAAAATCTAGCCTTTGGATCTGATGCATCGTGCGGCTCAGATTGCATCCTGCACTCAGATTTTGAGATAGTGCATTTTTAAAGGATTTTGGTGCATTTCGACATGATGCATTTTCAAATCATTCTGGTGCACCTCATTTTGATGCAATCCTAACCCTTAGATCTCACAATCTAAAGCACCAGATTCATTCTTATTTCTTTCATAAGATTGCATTCTCACCTGATCCAATATATATATATATATATATATATATATATATATATATATATATATATATATATATATATATATATATATATATATACTCCGTATTTGTTCACTACAAATTACTCCGTAGTAATAAAAATGTTCTCCCTGGTCTATATTTGGAATTAGGGACTATACTGGAATTTGCTTTACATACTCCGTAGTAAAGAAAGAAAAAACAAAGAGGAATCGAATTGCGTATTCTTATAATAAGCGCTATATGCCTAGAGCAATGCTTCTAACTAGGTTTACTCTACTACTCCTAGAGTCATGTGATAGGTTAGTTTTATAATCTCTAAATTTGGATGAATCATTTTAGAATAATGTTAGGGGTAAACCAAAGGTGTACCCCAATTGTCCCCCACCTTGTCCACATAAAAAAGGCAAGAAAGTTAAAAAAAATAAATAAATAAAATTAAAATAAAAATGGGTGGTGGAGAAGGGATGGTGTACATTTGGGGTACACCTTTGGTGTACCCCTAGCATTGCTCATCATTTTACTCTATTTTTATTTGATTGCTCTTTCACGGAGTTAAAGAAAAAAAATATAATTAGTTGGATGAAATTTATGTACGTGTATGAGAAAATTAATGTGGACCACCTAAACCATTCTTTAAATAGAATGAAAAGTTTATTCTGAGACAACCAAAAGAGAAAAGTACTTTAATTTCTCTCCCTTGCAAAAAATTAGTAGTGATATAGTTTGCTCGCTTTATAAAAATCATGTCATGTCCAACCAAATTATGCAAATTAATTTGGGAACCAATGTCATAGGATGACCTGGGGCGCTCCGGTGCCCCATTCATAAAATTGACGGTTCCTACCCCCCTTACCTTTCGATAAACCCCCCATCCCACCCCGAACACCCCCCCCACCCCTTTCAATTGCACCCCACAAGTTGATTTTGACTTTAGATTCAAATTTTGAAACCAAAGTAAAAATCAACTTCTAGGGTGCAATTGAAGAGGGTGGGGGGTGTATTTGGGGCGGGGCGGGGTGGGGAGATTTACCGGGGGGTTAGGGGGGTAGGAACCGTCAATTTTACGAATGAGCACCGGAGCGCCCCCGGGTCAACCTATGATATTGGTTCCCAATGTCATGAGAACCTTGCTCTTGGAACAGAGGAAGTAGTAAAAAAAATACATAAACTATAGGGTAAGGTATGATTTAGTACTATTCATGCGCAAAGATATAACTCATTAATCATTATATAAAATAATCATGTCACAACTAATTTTGTAGATCTCTAAAATTGACTCGGTAATTTTTTAGTATTTAATTTTTAGTTTTTAATTCTATACCATTTTTCATATAAATGATTTAAAAATAATTTATGTCAAACATCTTAAACTGAAACATGCGATTTAAAATGAGACAGAAAAAGTACTATGCAAATTATAAAGATTGTACCAAATGTTTTTCCGAGCCGAACCCCTTGGTATATACTCCCTCTGTCCTGTGCTTGCAGGCATTGGCAACGTTGGGTAGTGGGGTAGGGGAAAGATCACTTCTCTGTAGTTAAGTCCGGCTAGTGAGGGTATATATGTCATTTTAACACGTACTACCTTACCGGAAAAAAAAATGAACATATACACTACGACACTTAAAAAAGAGAACTAGACCAAAAAATACTGGAACGGAGGGAGTATATAGCCATTGATGGCTTGAAAGCAAATTGGTAATGCTACTGACACTGCATTGGGAGGTGGCTTGTGTGTCGTATTATAGGGTGTCCAAACTCACACCAGACCGAGACTCTCATATTAGATAATACTTCGTATAAGCTTTTAAAGAGTATATTATTAGATAAAATACAACATATATATATATATATATATATATATATATATATATATATATATTCACCAGCTAAGACAGTGGCATTTCTTATACCCCTATTGAGATGTCTCCTGCAATTCTTCCCACATTGCCACAAAGCTGTGGCAGTCCCCAAAATACCAAGCCAGGCGCCTCCCTTTCGGCGTGCGACATTGATGTATACTCTTTCCAGACATCGAGCACGAGTCTGAGGTCGTGAATCTTATTTTCAAGACCGACACAACAGTTGGCGTGAACAGTGACGACGAGGTCGAGTTCGTCGCTGAGTTCACAAAACCCACTGAAAAGAGTGGTGGGCAGGAAGGTAATGTGGAGGCCGAGTTCGGTTAAGAACGGGTGGAGCTTTATTCTGTTTAGGACATCTTGGTCGTGGCTGCCAGGGTACATGTCTTTCGAAGTGTACCAGAATTTGTAGAATCTGACTGTCCGGGTGCTTGATCTTACAAAGTTGAAACCCCCGTTGGGAATGTTTAGGGGTGACGAGTTGGAGATGAAATGGTCACATGCAATTTGGAATTCGGAATCTTTGTGGAAATGCGTAAATGGGTTTCGGAGCCACATTATGTCGGCGTCCTACATACAAAATACAAGTAGATGATATCAAAAGGTAACAAAGACTTGAGATGCATTGGATATAGAGAATGTTACGGAATCAAATTCATGCGTAATGTGAATTTATGTACACTATAAGTATAGGGAGTGAGCCTTACCTGACCAAATTTTGAATAATGCCTTAAAAAAAGGTATCGGTAATTTAACACAGATGCAGATAAAACTAAGAATATTGAAATCTGCTCTTCATTTGATTATCAAGACGAACGTAAGCAGCAGAACTTATTTATCATTTTCATGAGTTTAGTGGGTGCATTAATTTTGAGCAATTATATGACAATAAAGTTCATGATCAGTTGCTAACAACCCTAACATAGTTGCAATTGAGGTGGCGTTGAATCTGTTGATGGTGAATATTGTAAGTAGCAATAGCAAACATAAACATGGAAGCAACTTTATTTCAAATGACTATTCAATTGATTTGAGCTAAATTGATAAAGAACCGCCAAAAAAATTGCAAATCACAAAAAGAATGGCCTAAATTAATAATTTTTATTTTACTAAAGCCAAGTAGCCAACAAACTTCATTTTACACTAAAAATTTAAATGAAATTCCCATTTGACCCATCACCTTTATAACTGTCCCTTCTCAAAATATTCTGCAACTTCTCCAGCATGTTATACTCAGTTTAGGTCGGTGTTACATCCCGTTTGTTACTCTCTTGACTTTCCTTAGTAGGTAGATGTCGACCAATGGCAGCATCAAGGTCATTTAGGGCTGAATTTAACTTGTTTTCATGCCGGTTGCAAAAAAGAAAACAGAAGGTGAATGAGAAAGGAAGATTGAGTTGGTGGTGTGTGGCAGGGGGGGAAGATGACAATTGGGTATAAGGATGAAGAGTAAAATGAGAATTTCATTTGAATTTTGACTAGAAGCCGAAATTGGTGGTTCCACTCAATAAAAATATATTTTTGGTGGTTTTATTAAAATTAAAGAAAAATATTAGGGTGATATTTGCAAAATACCATCTTTAAATATTTTACTATATTCTAATCCGTAACACTTGATGCAATTTGTAAGGAACATACAATTATCACAAATAGCCCACAAACAAGCTGCATTTAAATACAAATGTGTCTTTGCCAAATAAATTTTAAATAACGATCACAAAAATATAGCTATATCTTTTGGGATTTTCTTTTTTTAAACAAAACTAAAAAGAACTAATAGGCTCACAATCAGCCTACCAATGAAGTGTACTAGAAAAGTCTATTCGGATATAAAGTGTCATAGAAGTGTACCGTGAAAATGAAGTTGTAACCCTTCTCCAATACAATTCTCAGAAAATCAATCCTAGCCCACATCATTTCCAAATAACTCAAACTCATAAAATGTGCTTCTCCTGTGAAATTCACGCCATATGTACGAAGAGCATAGCAAAATGAGTGTACTTCCAAACAGCGAGAATAGGCTCTCTTGTCTAATGCAACCACAAGCAGGTGATTCAAAAGATGGTGGGTTTGGTTCCCAACTCTAAAGCTCTCCAGAAATAAATCAAAAATTGAATTTGGAGATGCCCATGCTGCATTTAACGTCGTAATGATAACAGTTTTATCCATAAAAGCTGCCTTTTTGAGTACTTTCACCAAATCGTTGTCATCTCCTTCCTTCCATGTGCAAAAATAAATAGTACACAGTTAAGGTGATTATAAAAGAGCAGCAACATTTCATGTGATATTGCATTAAGCTTAGTAGCTTACAGAACACGTTTGACTTTCACTTTTTCAAGTGTTTTACAATGGCAAGTGCATGGTCAATTTAACGTAAAAGTGGTGATGCACAATTCCATTTACGTAAGGTTCACACTATTGAACAGCTGAAGAGCAGATCTATAAGAGTTGAACACTTCTTAATATCCTACAGTGCATAAACCATCACCTTAGGAAAGATGCTTGTGTTAACCATGCATTCTAGATTCTACAGAGGGACACACTTAAAAATTGAAAGGGCCCTTGAAAGATCCTTAACGATATGATTAGCAACTAACAGTGCTAACAACTAAAAGGTTTCATTCATAGTATATCCAAAACAGGTGTAACACTTTGCACCATCGGTGCACGGCCATGGTCCACCTCATCAAGCAAGTTTTTGTGTGCTTTTCTACATTGATAAATAGTCTCCTTACACATCATTTGTTTTAGCTGTTGACGTATAGAAATTCGTAATTAGATAAACTTTGTGGGGTTAGGCCATTGTTTCTCTATATAAGAATATAGGCATTGGAATTGTCTTAAAAAATGACAAAATCGCAATACAATACACATACCAAAAGTAATTGTTCATTAAGAAGCACTAACCGGTTGGACAAAAATGCTAAACCAGCAATGAATGGTATTTGGTAAAACCGACATGCTTTGCACTTCAAATGCATATTTACAAGTATCAGAGGCATACCATGAATAGACATAAAAGGATAGCTTTAATTGAAGATTGGAAGTACAACTGGCATTCAATACAACTAGAAAATGGAAAGTTATATTAAACGAAGGACGACCACTTACCAAGGAGTCTATATTGATATGAGATGTATGAGGAAAGGTATCTGGCGAAACTTCATTAAGTGAATCTAAATGACCAAATGAATTCGGAGAGATGCGTATATAGTGTGCCCAATTATAAAGCACAAGAGAGGAAAGGCCGACAACCAAAAATATGAGCACAAGCAAAATGACTTCAAACGGTACATGGTGGTAGTGATGAGCTTTATTATGGTGATGATGGGTTTGGAAAACTTCAGATTCAATGACTTCCTCAGGAGTTTTTCTGCCACAGCTTCCACTCCCAAGGTTCATCATTTCTGAAGCTAAATTCTTTGGCAAAACCAACACCTCATAAAGCAAAGCACTGGACTACTCAGAAAGATTATCAAACCACCGCGCGCATAAATTCGCATTTGGGAATCTCAAAATAACAGACAATCACGCCGGTCCCTTTGGGTCAATTCGTCGAACAAGTGGCGAACACGATCTCGCATAAACAGAGACGAAATTCAAAGGCCGGAAATAGATACCCACCACACTGAATACGGGAGGGTGGAGATGCATAAAAACTAGAAAATCTCAGGAATGGTGTCTCCGCTTGGTGCGACGGCGCCGGCCGGGCGTTTCTTCTACGATTGACGATGTTTCAAGTGCCCGCTGATGGCGCTAGTGGACCCATTCCTACTTTTTCTGGGCCTATTTGATCTGATTTCTTAGGATGGGTGGGCTAAGGATCCGTTCTTTTTAATTCATTCTTAAATACTCAGTACTTTTTAAATACTAGTATTCTAACCCGTGCAACGCACGGGGTCGAACAAAACTTTTGTCGATTCTGAAAGTTTTTCAATGTAATATTTTTTCAAAAGAAAAATATATAATTCTGATATGATTTTTCATACTATAGACAAAAATGTCAAAGTAGAATAAATAATGTTTGAGGAATTGAATGAGTACTCAACAAAGTTTTTTTAATACCAAATCTTCTGATAAATTTTAGGGTATACAATAATTTTGGTATGGTTGAAATGGTTTCAATTGTCATTTGAACCAATATTTTTAATCATGTCTTTGTCTTGACTCTTGAAACAACAAAATAGAGCTAACCATCAATGAAGAACGAATTGGTAAAAAATAATCCAACAAATAACAATGTTTGATCTTGACTTTTATTGATAGTCATTGCAAAGTATAAGACTATTGGGAGTTGTCTTCTCTAGAACTTCAAGAGTAATTAGATCAGATGGTACCAAATTCATCTGAGGTATGTAAACTTTTCCCCAACTGAATTTCCCAAAAACATAAAAGCATTGATAACGCTCTGATCTTTTGCAGCTCTTCATCGATTAATCATATACCATTACATAATCCAAATGTTTGGACAATGTTTCCCAATAATATAATTGGTACCCCCTTTTTAAAAATTATTTTTGTGATTTGGGATCTTCGAACATTTGATTTATTTAAAAACTCAACTGTTATCTAATCGCCACCAATACCTACATCTAAACCTGCCTAGCATGAAGAATCAGAACTCGAATACACCATTTCATCTTCGGGAATGAGGAATATGACATTCATTTACCATTTTTATAACCTCAAGCATGGGTGCCAGCAGTGCCCTATCCTCGAAAAAAACAATAACTTTTCATAGTATCCAATAGGTCCAGATAAGTAAAATCTACTATACTCTTGAGGGGTTAACTTGTGTCTAGAATCATCAATTCGGACGGAATTTCAACATCAGTTATTCCATCAATCACTTGTCCAAGCTTTCTATCTCTAACTTTGATTATACAATTAGAAAAGGCTTGTGTGTACCTATATACGCAAGAGGACGTCGACGAATACAATCACATATTCTTCTTCAACATATAAAGTTTACAATACGACTATTTTTTTGAAGAATTGATGGTAGTACCTAAAATTTATTCTCTTGAAACTCTAGGTAAAACAGGAAGAACTTTACAAAAAATCACCTCCAGTATAACTTTTCTCCCTCCTAATGGTTCATTTCTCGAATTTTTATTTGAGAATCTCATTACATCTCTTATTGTGCGATTCAATGCCTCAAAAGCAAATCTGTTCATTGTACATACTTCATCCCATATGATTAGACTTGCTTGTTGGATTAGTTCTGCTTTCATACTTCCTTGTTTGATGGCACACGTTGAGAACTTGGTTAGTGCTAGACGGATTGAGAATCTCGAGTGTATTGTCCTTCCCCAAGGCAAAAGCAATGTTGCAATGCCACTAGATCACCATTCAAGACAACCTTACCATTTGACCTCAAAGAAGCAGACAATGATTTCTATAGAAATAGTTTTCAAGTTCCACCGTAACCATATACAAAAAAAGAGACCTCCGCTTTCGGTTGTCACAATTTTTATTATTTCATCGTATATCTTCTATTGATCTTCATTCATCGTAAATAAGTATCTTATAAGATCAGATGACTTTCTTTATCATAGTTAATTCTTATACGAAGAAATTATTTTGAAATCTATTAAGTGAATGGTCATCTGGAAATGGCATCCACTAAATTCCCTTAAACACTGTCCATTTGAATTAAGCAACTTTTCAATTGCAATCAGACATAAACTCATTAGATCTTTTCCAGAAATTATATGCTCAGAAAAAATTAGAAAAAATTTGACTTAATTAGTTCTACATAGTACTCAATTCAAAAGTTTGGTTTCAACAAAACGTATTACATATGGATTAATATGTTTAAAAAACTATTTTTCTATTGAAATACCTTGATTACACAATATTCTCTTTTGACCAAATTAATAAAATTCCATCCATCAGGAGTTCTCGTGATTTTTCTCAAACAATTTGCGGGTGACTCATGATATTTGTCACTAATGATGTGACGAACAACTTTCTTAATAGATTTCTTATCCTAATAAGGTAGCCTCTTTTATACCTTCAATAAATTCTTTATCATAGGTTAATAACGCAACGCATCGCATGCTTCCTCAAATGAGTTATAAAGAACATTGTTTACTGTCTCTAAGCTCCCATAACTCTTTGGTTCCCGTTGCTACATCCTGTAGTCGGCTTATTGATGGTCTTTCATACTTCTTTTTGGCATGCTTTATAAATATATTTTTTATTTTTTATACATGATAGTTTTTCAAATAAAAACTTGAGAGTTAGTAACAAAGGGGATGTACTTTTTGCCTTTAAAGACATTACAGACCATGTATAACTTTTTGCCTTTAAATTTGTAAATATTAAACATTTTATACCGTTTATCTTGTAATAGCTTGTTATAATTTCCAAATTCTATGTACTTTTTCATAACTAAACCATGTAACATTTAAGAATATAACAATTAATTTTTAACCAAGAATGTAACAATTAGTATATAAAAATATTATTTGATCATAATTGGATTTATAACAATTAATATTATATCATAAATTATTCGATTGTAAAAAGTAATTAATAATTAACTTATAACACATAATACAAATGTATTATTTATCCATTTGTAAACTTTTTGCCTTTTAGTATACATAATTTTCAACTTCTATTATTTCATTTTTTAAGAAAACAATATTTGAATATCATTTATCCAAAAAGAATACAATAAGAAAAGTTTGGGAAGAAGCTTATTTCGCATGAAAAAATAGGAAGATTGATGGGAATTAGAATGAAAACAATAAGAAAAGTTCTGATCAATGTTTGCTGACCGACATGACTGATGACATGTAAATAAATTGTCCAATAAGCGTGACACATGTCACAATTCTAGAAGCCAACTCTCAAGGTTAATATATAAAGATAAATTTTTTAAAGAAAACTACATTAGCACTCCGTATATAAGGCATATACTATATATTTTGATAAAAATTACCACACCATTAAGTCATTAATAGGTGGCGGATGATATGTTAAAATTTTGCCAAGTGGACTCGACACATGTCGCAATTCTGAGAGTTCAACTCTCAAATTTTATATATAAAAATTAGTAGAATAAAGTATTTTAGTTTTAAGGAAGTAATCATTTAAATTTTAATTAAAAAATCACTTTTTATTTTTAATAAAAGAAACTCTTGGAGATATAAATAAGTTAAATGAATTTAAAGGAAGTAATTCTTTTTGGAATATCAAATATATTAGTTTAAACTTAGCAAATGTATAAATATCAAGTTTTAAAAGTTGCCATAAATTATTTGCTAAAAATGGTCAATGATTATAAACAAAGTTTCCATATATGAAGTCTTTATTTTAGGAATGATTTTAAATCCAATTAATGTGTACAGTCATCATCAACGTGTCAAAAAAGATCCACATAGACGTTCTACGTGTCAAGCTCTGATGATCCCAATATGAAATATTATATTAAATTCGAATCTTTAAGAGGAGATGTAACACCACTAACATGTTGTATGGGAAGGAATCAGTGATACGCCGGAATTTGGGTTCAAATCAAGAGTAATTGCGTAAGTTGAATCAATATCTATGCTTCAATTCCTGTGAAGGAAAGGTGATTAATTTCTCTGCTAATTTGTCTCAAAATTCCAAATAAAAGGAAAGGAGACGGCGAAGGAAAGCGAGATCGAAGAAGAAAATGAAATGGGATCGGCGAATATTGCGAAGAAGAGTTGTGCCGTTTCTCAGTGTGTAATTCCCTTTTTTCCCTTTACGGATTGTGTATGCCAACTCACCTTCCATCTCATCAGTAGTTGCCTAAGAAGATGACACATCAGCTCCGCCACATGTCGCGCTATAGCTCCGCCAAATGTTGCGTTCTTGTAGCTTGGAGTCTGCTTTTTATATATAAAGGATTTATATTATAATCAAATAAAATCAGACTAAAATCAAATTAAAATAGAATAGATTAGATCGAATTTTCAAAAAAGTTAGGTCAAATCAGGCGAATGGAACATAGCCTAAAAAGTACTCTGTGGTACTGAACATTGTACTTAGGATTGGAGGCGGAAACCCATATAATGCTTCGAATGGAGTCCGACCGATCGCTGAGTGGAAGGTGGTGTTGTCACACTACTCGGCTAACGAAACCCACTTGTGAGACCGTTCCACTGCCATACACCTAAGATACCCCTTCAGACACTAGTTGACCACCTCAGTTTGTCCGTCCATGTAATGTCATAAAAACTTCTTCCAAAAAGTGCTCACTAACACGAGGTTATGGTCGAGACTATCGATGTACGACACCCGTGTAACTTATACACATGGTCGAGAAATACCTGAGCTACCTCCTTGGCCGTGTATGGGTGGCTAAGGAGCATAAAGTGGTTATACTTCGTCAAACGATCAACCACTATAAAAAATGTGTCCTTCCATCGGGATTTTGGTAACCCCCCTATGAAATCCAGCAATATGCCTGCAGAGATGGTTTCGGGAATTGGTATTTGTTGGAGGAGATTTAGCGAAGCTATAATTTCATTTTTCGCTCTCATGCAAACATCGCACCCTTGTATGAATTCACGAACCATCTTTGTTATACACTTCCNAATGCACTACGTAGTGGCCTGAATACCCAAGTGACCCCCCCACTGGTGAGTTGTGACACAAACCCACAATTTCCAACTGGAGCGACCGATTTCCCCTACTACCATTTTGTCTATTTTGACCACTCATTCCCACTCCACTGAAGAAGATGAAAGGGAGTTGTTTGATGAAGAATTGAAGAATAAGTAGGGTGGAGGTGTGGCAACGAAGAAGAAGGTCAAATGGTAGGGAGATGTAATGAAAATGGAAAGTAGAAAGTAGATGAGTAAATGAGCGCAAATTTTATTTGTCAAAAAAGAAAGTGAAGGAAAGATATGAACGACTAACAAAAGATGAAAGACATAGAGAGGTTCTATGGTGGACCCAAGGTCCACACGAATCTTCTCGCATATTTTTTTTATTTTAAAAAATATTTATTTCAACACTTATAAAATGTTTATTCAGCATATATGAAGTTTCACTATGGACCTTAGGTCCATGCAATAATTTGCTAACATCGATACGGGATAGAGAAAACATTTGTTTTGGAATATAAATTTATTTATTGGACTATAGAAAAAGGAAAATAGATTTTTTTTTTCAAAAGTAAAAAAATATGTTCATACTATATGTAGTTTTTTTGAACACCTACTTGGATCCAAATAGGTGGTCAAAATAAAACATAAATCAGATATAAACATTGAACGCTACAAGGTCGTTAGTCTAACGATCGTGAGCTAGGGGATTGAACTGAGCATTATTTTCTATTAACAGGTTGCATCTTGGGAATTGGTTAATTTTGGGAATTAATTTGGAAAAACACACAGTTATTAAATACAGTTTTGGGAATCTACTCAAATAATGTTATAATAATTTTTTTTCAAACAAAATTTTAATGATATCACCAAAATAATCTATTTTTTTTGAAACGGGTGCATATTTAGTTTTTTTATCCCTAATATCAATTTATATGTCTAAAAATTATTTAAAAAATAAAAAAAATAATACAATAGATTTATAACATATTTTTTTGATATTATACTTTTATTTATTGGGAAATGTAGTGTTAATATGAATTTTAAAAATTTAAAAATAAAAGTCATAATCTATTGAGTTGATACGGATCCGATGATACTAAACCTGAACATATAATTCTTAACCTAAATCTAAACTTAGCTAAACTCGATGTAACCCGATTTCTAAAATATCAATTCTGAACCCGACTTGACCCACTTATTTAGGCTGCGTTCCGTTTGTCTGATCTGATCTAATTTTTTGAAGATCTAGTCCAATCTGGTCTGATTTGATATGATCTTGTAGGATCTAATTGCAGTTATAACTAAAGCTATTTCTGACCCGACCGGATCTGATTACAATTATAACTAAAGCTATTTTTGATCTAATCTGATTCTAATTATAATAAGAAAAACTAATAAGCAGAAAAAAATAAATTGAATGAAACTTTAACCTATTTACCTTCTCTAGATTTGATCCTCATTTCTCATTGACTCATTCTACAATCACCATGGTATAATAAGTACTGCATTCTCCCAATTTGGCGTTGGTGCAGGCAAACTTCTCCAGACGAGTACGGAAGTAGGCAGGGGAAAGTGAGGCCGTCGAACACCGCCGGCGATTCCTCGACTGTAGATCATCGGAATCCAGGTGTCCCGATATAATGCCTAATTCCTCAATTTTTTCCAATGTGCCTGAATTTGTGATTGTAATTGGGCCTCCCTACTTCTAGATCTCTGATTTTCATTTTCATACGGTTGGTTACACGTTTTAGGTTAACGTTACGCCATTTTTGAGTGCAAAAACTGAATCTAGTTGTGACCTGCATATCTATTTGCTGTCGGTTCACCTTGTTTAGATGCGTTGTTTAGCTTCTGTTATGGGCTTTTATTCGATCTGGTTCACAGAGGAGTTAGTTTTGAATTCGCGATCTGCAGATCAGCTGATCTGTGCTATGGTTACACTAGGAGTTTGTGATTGTTCATGGATCAGTCTATAGAATTGGCGATGAGTGCATCTCATACGGATTGAGATTTGTTTGATTCATTTTATCTATCTGGTTGGATCGATTTGGGATTACATTACTTTATTTACGCTGCCTCACGGAAAAAGCATGTCTTTGCAACTTTTATTTTCTTTTCTGAAAGAAGGATTTATTTATTGTTTTATTTATTTGTTTATTATCTATTCTGGGCATTAGGTACTTAGCGTGAAATGGAGAAGTCTTGCTCTTTGCTGGTACATTTTGACAAGAGCACTCCAGCGATTTCAAATGAGATCAAAGAAGCTCTTGAAGGGAATGATGACTCTGCCAAGATCGATGCCATGAAGAAAGCAATAATGCTTTTGTTAAATGGGGAAACTCTTCCCCAGTTATTCATCACCATCATTAGATATGTTTTGCCATCCGAAGACCACACAATCCAGAAGCTGTTGTTGCTTTACTTGGAGATCATTGAGAAGACTGACTCTAAGGGGCGTGTTCTACCTGAGATGATTCTGATCTGCCAGAACCTGAGGAACAATTTGCAACACCCAAACGAGTACATCCGCGGAGTTACTCTGAGGTTTTTATGCCGCTTGAATGAGGTTGATGTTATCGAGCCACTGATTCCTTCCATAATGAGCAACTTGGAACACCGTCATCCATACGTGAGGAAAAATGCAATCCTTGCTGTGATGTCTGTATACAAACTTCCACAAGGCGAACAGCTTTTGGCAGATGCTCCTGAGAAGATAGAGAACCTTCTTTCTACAGAACAGGACCCATCAGCTAAGAGGAATGCATTTCTTATGCTGTTCCAGTGCGCCCAGGAACGCGCAGTCAATTATCTGTTGACAAACATGGAGAGAATACCTGACTGGGGTGAGTTGCTTCAGATGGTTGTCTTGGATTTGATTAGAAAAGTTTGCAGGAGTAACAAAGAAGGGAAAGGGATGTATATAAAGATCATAATATCATTGTTGAATGCCCCTTCTGCTGCTGTTGTATCCGAATGTGCTGGAACTCTGATTTCTCTGTCCTCTGCCCCGACAGCCATTAGAGCTGCTGCTAATACTTATTGCCAGCTTCTTCTTTCTCAGAGTGACAACAATGTTAAGCTTATTATCCTGGACCGGCTCAATGAACTGAAATCTTCTCACAGAGACATTATGGTGGATATGATAATGGATATTCTCAGAGCTCTTTCTAGCCCAAACCTTGACATTAGGAGGAAAACACTTGATATTGTTCTGGATTTGGTAACTCCCAGAAATATTAATGAGGCTGTTCTCACACTCAAGAAAGAAGTCATGAAGACGCAAGGTGCGGAACTTGAAAAGAATGGGGAGTACAGGCAAATGCTCATCCAAGCCATCCATTTTTGTGCAGTAAAGTTCCCAGAAGTGGCAAGCACGGTGGTGCACCTATTGATGGATTTCTTGGGTGACAACAATGTTGCTTCTGCTATCGACGTCGTAGTTTTTGTGAGAGAGATTATTGAAACCAACCAAAAATTACGGGTTTCTGTTGTAACGAGGTTAATTGACACATTCTACCAGATCCGTGCTGCACGGGTTTATTCATGTGCGCTTTGGATCATTGGAGAGTATTGTCTCTCTCTTTCCGAAATTGAGAGTGGCATTGCAACTATCAAACAGTGCCTTGGTGAACTCCCATTTTACTCAGTTTCTGAAGAAGGGGAAGCTTCTGAATCTTCTTCAAAGAAGCCTCAACAAGTTAACTCTATGACTGTTTCATCTCGAAGGCCCGCTGTCCTTGCTGATGGTACATATGCTACCCAAAGTGCTGCATCTGAAACTGCTTTCTCTTCTCCAAATGTTGTCCAAGGATTGTCTGGAAACTTGAGAACTCTTCTCCTTAATGGTGATTTCTTTCTGGGAGCAGTTATTGCGTGCACACTAACGAAGCTGATTCTAAGATTGGAAGAGGTTCAACCATTGAAAGTTGAAGTGAACAAAGCAACCACAGAGGCGTTATTGATTATGGTCTCAATAATTCAGCTAGGACAGTCTTCATTTCTTCCTCATCCAATCGATAACGATTCTCACGACAGGATTGTTCTTTGTATAAAATTGCTTTCCAACCCTCAAGATGAGGTGAGGAAAATCTGGTTAACATCTTGCCGCGAGAGTTTTGTAAACATGCTCTCTGATAAACAGCTCCGTGAGACAGAGGAGACTAAAGCAAAGGCTCAAAGCTCTCACTCTCAGCCTGATGACCTTATTGATTTCTATCATTTAAAGAGCAGGAAGGTAATAAAAGTGAATCTGAGTCATGTCAAACAATAGTTTCTTCGTACCTTATTATTTTTGTTAGCCTAAAGGCATTGCTATTAGCTTCGTGCAAGTATCACTTAATTGATTTATTATCATGCCTCTTACCATGTAGTATCAGATCTTTTTTAACTCACTACATCCCAAAAAACTCCAATTTCATGGTTTTTCTTGTTTAGAAAAGACAAGTTCATCGAACACAACCCTGTTTTGGTATGGAGTAATAGTTCGGTGACTTCCAAAGGTAGTTGTTCAATCGATTTGCATTTAGCAGATCCTCACTATGTAACTTAAATTTCAGGGCATGACCCAATTGGAGTTGGAAGATCAGGTTCAAGATGATTTGAAGCGTGCCACTGGAGAATTTGTCAAGGACGAGAATGATGCCAATAAACTAAATCGTATTCTTCAACTCACTGGATTTAGTGACCCTGTGTATGTGGAGGCTTATGTCACTGTTCATCATTATGATATTGTTCTGGATGTCACAGTAATTAATAGAACTAAGGTGACCCTACAGAATTTATGTTTAGAATTAGCCACTATGGGTGATCTCAAACTAGTCGAGCGCCCTCAAAATTACACACTTGCTCCCGAATCAAGCAAGCATATTAAAGCAAATATCAAGGTTTCTTCAACTGAGACTGGGGTCATTTTCGGAAACATTGTCTATGAGACCTCAAATGTGCTCGAGCGCACTGTCGTTGTCCTAAATGACATTCATATTGACATAATGGATTACATCTCTCCAGCAGTGTGCAGTGATGCTGCTTTCAGAACTATGTGGGCAGAATTTGAGTGGGAAAACAAGGTACTGTTTTAGTTGTCACGATTTGTTTTAGTTTTGTGGTTGATCCATTCATGGTTTACTTTTATATGATAACTCATTGGTAAACACTTTGTAATATTTTTAAGCAGTTCTTTCGTCCCAAAACTTTGTAGACTTTAGAGTGATATCAAGCAGCACAGTTTTTCTGTGATTCTGTCATGTCAGTATTTATGTTGCTAGCATATACATGAGTAAAAGTTATAAGCACATTTGGGGAAGTGTGATCGAACTACTCTTGATGTCATTTCCACCTTATTATGATATTCACACTATTTCCCCTGCATTTTTGCGTGCATGACTGCATTTTATCACACTTTTTTGGGGTCTCCACAAAGCAAGCCTTTTACTGCATGGATTAGAATTAAGGTCTGTGTAAATCTTACCCACGTTAGACCCTCTTGTTCTGGGATATACTGGGTATGTTTGGGTTGCTTACATTTCTATTGAAGTAAGAAACAAGCTCAAACCAATTCATGTATCTGTCCCAATTGGATTGGGATTATGGCTTGATTGCTGTAATTGCTTTTAGTTGCATTTTAGGCTTGCTGTTCATGCTATCTTCCCTATTTATTTGATCCAGCATTTTACACTGTCTTCTGCTGTCATACTAACATTGACCTGGTGCTATGAAGGTTGCTGTTAATACCGTTATTCAAGAGGCGAAGGAATTCCTGGACCACATTATCAAATCAACTAATATGAAGTGTTTGACTGCTCCGTGAGTTGTTTCTCTCTCATCAATATGAAAATATGTGTTTCTCTCGTGTTGGTTATTCGATGATAACAGTTCTTATCATTTCTATATCGTTCTTGGACATGTGGCCTCAGATCTGCACTGGAGGGTGAGTGTGGGTTCCTGGCTGCCAATTTGTATGCAAAGAGCGTGTTCGGGGAAGACGCTTTAGTGAATTTGAGTGTTGAGAAACAAGCCGATGGGAAGCTGAGTGGCTATATTCGGATTAGGAGCAAAACTCAAGGGATTGCTCTCAGTTTGGGGGACAAAATCACTCTCAAGCAGAAGGGTGGCAGCTGATCCTAAAAAACTTGACACATTTATTGCGGTACGTGCTCTGTCCCGACTTTAAGAGCCAATGTTACTCCAGGCATTTGTTATTACATGCAAGTTCATATTCTTAAATATACTTCATTCGTCGTCTCTAAAAGATTTTCTCCGTTTGACTTTCTTCACGGAGATTAGGAAATGTGTTGGAAAGTTTTTGAACAATGAAAAGTGAGTGGTTAAAATTTGTTTGGAAGAGAGAAAATCATTTTGTACCTTATACTTCGTCCGTCCACTTGATTCTCTACACTTACATTTTTATCTGTTCTATTTGATTCTTTACACTTCCATTTTGAACTAAAATAATTTATTGAAATCCCATCTTTACCCTTCTATTTTGTATCACACCAAACCAATACCCATCTCCAAATTTAAACTATCCCACTTTTCATTTCCCACTTTCCACATCAAATCAATACCCCACCCAATATATGTCTTATCAAGGGTATATTTGGAAATTACACTTCCCACTATGTACTCCTTTAACTCTGTTTTTTCTCTTGAAGAGAGACAGGTGGGGTATATTCTATGCATGAATAGTTTTTCACCTTTAGAACTGGTGATTTTGTTGTCTCCAATAATATATTTGAGCTCATATTTCCTGTCTTGTGACATTTTCTCTGCTCATAGTAATTTTCTTGTCCTTTTTATTGTTGTTGTTGGGGCAGATTGCTGTGTTTCGATTTGAGGCTTTGTTCTGAACTTCCTCTTTTGCCCCTTGAGAGATGCTGTCATTATGTAATGCATTTGTAGAACTTTAATAGTACCTTTCTTTTTTCCTTTTTATTTTTTTTAAAGAATAATATTGCTACGCAATCAAATGACTTTTGGCGTTTTGTAGTTATTATTATTATTATTTTGTATTTTAATTGTAGAATGTAAAAGCCGCCTGATAGGAACATTTTCCATGCCTTTTGTTTGGAGTGAATTCATTGATTCCAACAATTTTTTGTGTCTAAGAAAATACTCCGGGTAGTGATTAATTGATTATAAGAATTTGTTGTTTTAAAATGGGACAAGAGTCAATGTGACCTTTATAACTTTTGCACAGATAGGAAGTGAATAAATATATTAGGACGTTCCAAAGAGAAAATTGGACAAGTATATGGGACGTAGGAAGAAATATTGAAATACAAACATGTCCCGAATACTTTCAATTTAAATTTTACCCATCCTTGTATAACAGTACATTCGTCCTACCAAAATATAGAATAAATCTAATATATTTCAAAGATTAACCCCAAAAATTACACTTACATTTTGTATCAATGTAAGTGGACAATTGATGACTTATATCGATACGAAGTGTCCGTGCGAAATTTTGTAGTCGCACTGATATTTTGTGTGAATGTAAGTCATCAAAATATAAGTATAATTTTTTAGTTATATTTTAAGTTACAATTTTTAGGATACACCTACCATGGAAATATAACTCATCCACTGACATAATATTAACATTAGGGTTGATCCTAAATTTTGCATTGAAATGCCAACATGATGTTCTAGAGAGTAGCAAGGTAATCTTACTTCGAAAATAGAGGAACAATTTTATTTGATTACCCTCCGTTCCTAAAAATTTTCTCGTTCATTTTTCATCCATCCCAAATAAATGTGTCCACTTTTTATTAAAAAATTAATTTTATCTGTATTAATTTTTACCATATCAATCACATCATCTTCATTCACTATTAATTTACAATCACGTTCTACTTTTACCCATTACGGCAAAAACATTTTTGGAATGTCAATATTGAAATACACTCTCCCGCTAATTTTTTTAAAAGTCAATACATGAAGAAATTTTAGGGATGGTGGGATTATATAACTGTGTTTTTATGTATGTAGAAAGACTTACAATTGTGTTGTAAGAAGTGGTTTTAATTTAGTTTATTTGCATATTAGCATAAAATTTAAACATAAACAAGTGATTTTTGAGATGGATGAAAAAGAAAAGAAGGGAAAGTTTTTTTTGGAAGAAATTACAAACATTTACGTTAAAAAACTACTCTTATTTTGCAAGAAAAACAACGTTTTCTATTAACGTCGACATTTAGGAAATTTTTTAGTGGTATATATTACTCCCTCTGTCCCATTTTATAGCGCCTGTTTCGGTTTACGATGTTTGACTGAAGTTATTTTCAAATCATTTTATATGACAAATGGTATAGAGTTAAAAAATAAAAATTACATATCAAAATACTACATCAAAAGATCTACAAAACTAGTAGTGACAACAATATTTTATTTTATCAAATTGCTAACGAAAATAGAGAAAGAAAGTGAATGAAGTTTGACCTTGTGAATAGTGAACAGGCATTATAATTTGGGACGGAGGAAGTAATTTTTAAAATGCTAAAACCAAACACTATATATCATTAAATAGTTATTAAAGAACCAACTTGATCAACCAAAAGATAAACATCGTGATTATAGTCATAAAAGATTTTAAAGTATACTCTGATACGCCTCGTTACATACAAATGTGATCCTTTCGTAGTACATTTTGCACTAATTGTGACCTCTTAACTTGGTCAACATGGTTGCGATATCACGTTAGAGGACTAAGTCAACAAAAAAATGCAAGCTTATGATTGTATACCCACAAAGATTTTTAGATTATACTACCTCCGTCTCATTGTCTTTGTCCACTTTTGACTTTTGGAACTGTTCATCTAAGCACTTTGACTCATCAAATTTTCTTAATGTGTAAGCCTAAAAATAGTCATGTGTGATCTTGTTTGATTCGTCTTAACATATAGATTATTAATATATAATTTGTATAATTTTTTAATATACAAATTACAAGATAAAACGGATTAAAGAAGTGCATTGGATGGTGTGTCAAAAGGTAAGTGGACAAATACAGTGGGACGGAGGGAGTATGTAACAATAAACAAAACGCAAAAAATATTGTCGTCAAACATGCACATAGACAAAAAATGGATGATATCATATGGGGAAGAGTGGAAAGCTTGTGAGAGAAGGGGCATAGTAGGTAAGCTAAGAGATTACCCATATAATACATTCAAACACACACTTCCTTCCATATCCATTAATCTTCCTTAATTAGCTTCTTTGATTTTGCTCCACAAACTCACCTTTAAATAGTTCCCAGCAGTTTCTTGCTCATGATCGAAGTGATCATCAAATTACATATCCTCATACATATATCAAGAAAATAATCATAATTACAACAATCTTTTTTATTAAATTAATAATAAGGTAATAATTAATGCTTCAATATACAACACTAGCTATAGAAATACAACAACTAAATTATGTCTTCTTCTTCTTCTTAATATTATTTCTTGGGGAATTAAATTAAACCCTTATTAGCAGGTAAATATAAGTAATATTTTCTCTTTATTCACACATCTATACCTGGCTAGGGGTTTTTTTGGAGTTTGTTTAGCTTAAATGAGTGTTTAAAATAAAATAAAATAAAATAAAATAAAATGGAAGGGAAAGAGAGTTTGCCGCCATTGCCGCCGGGTTTTAGGTTTCATCCGACGGACGAAGAGTTGGTGACGTTTTATCTTGGGAACAAGTTGAGATCAGAAGAAGAAGAAGATGGTTTCACAACTAGGGCTATTGCAGATGTTGATCTCAACAAGTCTGAGCCTTGTTGACTTTTCTATTAAAAAGTCACTTTTACCCCTTACTTTTTCATACCCTAACTATTACATCATACCTTTTTACTAATAATCTATCCATCAAATCATACTTTTACCCATCACATCAAAGGACATTTTTGGAAATTCAATACCAAAATACACTTCCTTAAATCCCTCCTAAAAAGTAAATGTCCCATGTTTCACGGGACGGAGGATTAACTAATTAGTGATATTTGAACTCGTAAAAGACCTATCCAACCACAAATTCAGGTTTATGAATGTAGGGTCTAGATAGAGAAGATGTTTACATAATAAACAAACGTAAAAAAATTAAAATCATACGGAGTAATTTTATTTGTTTTTTTAAACGAGTAATTATATTTGGTTAGTATGGAACTAATTAAACACAATGATAAAGAAAAAAAATATGCCGCACATATTATTTCATTCTCTCGTGTGAATCACTCTCAATCATATAATTTCATTTTTTAAATAATCATGTCGATTATATGGTATTGAGAAATCCTTTTGCGTTTTTGGCCTTTTAATTATAGGCGCCTACGACTTTATGTATGAGACATGTAAACATTACTCTTCCGAAAAGATTGCCACAATTTGACTTTTTTGGTCAAACTATAACAATTTTTTACAACAAATTAAATACGAAGTATAACTTAAAATAATTAAATATTATAAAATTTTGATATTTCAATATTATATTTTAAAATAAACTCGATTTTACTAAATTTATATTATAGCTAAATATTATTTTTTTCCATGCTTTGTAGTCAAAAGGTGCGACAATTGACCAATAAAAATCAAACTGTGTCAAATGTCAATCTTTTAGAGACAGAGGAAGTATTTAATTTCTGGATTGATGATTTAATTTATGGGTTATTAATATAGTAAATAAAATAATAACAATAACAATAACAATAATAATAATAATCAGGGAAAGCAAAAATGGGGGAAAAAGAATGGTACTTCTTCAGCCGGCGAGACCGGAAGTACCCGACCTGAGTGAGGACAAACCGGGCGACAGGGACCGGTTACTGGAAAACCACCGGAAAAGACAAAGAGATATTGAGCAGCTCCTCGTCATCAACAAGGGGTGAGTTGGTGGGGATGAAGAAGACATTGGTGTTCTATAGGGGAAGGGCTCCTAGGTGAAAAGACCAATTGGGTCATGCATGAATTTAGGACCACCTACCCCAACTCCTCCTCCTCCTCTAATTATAGGACAATTTTTAACAAGGTATATATATTTTTTATTTTATTTACTCCTAGCCAAAAAAATTATTATCTTACTTTGACTTTTTTGATCTTTTTTATCATTAACTAAAAAGAAAAGTAAACTGTTTACCTTTGAATTCTTTGAAAATTGTACGGAATACTCCTGAACATTAAAATGTGTACTCCCTCCGTTTGGAAAAACACTTCCCATTTGATTTGGGGGCAAAAATAAGGAAGTGTTAAATTATAGTTGATTTCCAATTTTGCCCCTGATGTGATGGGTAAAAATAAGATGTGATGGATAGATTATTAAAGAAAAAGTATAATGTGATATGTAGGATATGAAAAAGTAAGGGTAAAAGTGGTTTTTTAATAGAAAGGGGAAGTATTTTGTTGGAAGTGGAAAAAATGAAAGAGGAAGTGTTTTTGAAAACGGAGAGAGTACTAAATACTCCTAATTTTTTTTAGAAATTACACGGTTTACCCCTGAACATCAGAAAATGCATCAACTACATCTAAACTCTTTAGAAATTGTATAGTTTATCCATGGACATTTAAATAAAGACGATAATTTTGGGGAAGGATGCATTGGAGAATTCACAAGGGCCAAATGGATCGTACTTGCAATTCCCGTGCGTGGGAGCAACACACTTCATATCTAGCATTTTAGGACCAACGGTGCAACAATTTAAGTTGTTTAGGAGTATTTTGTGTACTAGATAGTACTTTTTGACTAAATCTACTCTTTTTATGTTCGATGGACAATTTTACTTTTAAAAGATGGCTTGCATCTAAATTCTCGTTTTTGTATTTTTAATGATAAAATTTTTAGCTTAACGTAAATAATACTCCGTATGAATTTAGCCAAAATGAGAGTGAAAATAACACCACCCATTGTTTATTTATTTAACTTCTAATTTGTTCATAATTAATTTATTCTTGATGACACATTAAACTCTTCTTGACTCTTAATTCCTTTAATATAGTAATGTCATCTTTTGTTTTGTAGAACTTCTGATTTAGTTTTTTTAATATATAAATTTTATTCTTCATTTCCGTACCAACTTTTTAATAAAATAAATTTAAAAAACACTTTATTTTAAATCAGAGTTTAATTTCCTCATACTATTTATTTGGGACGGAAGAAATATAAATCTTGTAGGTATTGATGATGTACTCTTCTCCCTCCAATAAAATGTTTACAAATATCTTTTTTCATCTGTCCCAATAAAGAATTTTACATTTTAAGTATGGAAAATTATATCGTCTGTGTCTCTCCTTATTTCTCTGTCATCTTCATTATTTTCAATCACACAATATCTCTTGTGCACTTGTTTTTTCGTGTCCGCATATATGCAGCATGATGAATGGGTAGTTTGTCGTGTTTTCAAGAAGAGCGCCGCCGCAGCAATAAAGAAGCACCCGCCGTCGTCCAACCACGCCTATCCCGCCGAGGTCAGTTCATCGCAAGCAATGGACCCGGTCTATCACGGAGGCTTCCACTTTAGAGCCGCCACCGGAAAAAACTACATCGCACCCTGCAACATCACGGGCCATGTAGACATGCAAGAGCTGAACAAGGTCTTTCGAGGCGGCGGTGTTGGTCCCGCCGCCTGGACCGCCGGAGTAGACTACATGAACAATACTCCTACTCCTGATGACTTTGATAGCTATTGGCCTATATATTGATATGATCTTTATATATACTCATACTGCTTAATTAGAAAAAGAATGTGAATAAATTAATTTTGAAACTTATTTTTGAAATTTTAATTTTTGTAACATATGTCTATATAAAGATAAAGATATTAGTTATGTCAATGTTGTGTTGTATTGGACACCATGAAAAATCAAAGCGAAAAAAAATCATGAAAAATCAAAGCGAAAAAAAAATAGGACGGGAGGAGTAGGTTGCACCCAACTATACATACCAAGCGTGTAATAGCTCTAATTAAAGAGTTGTGCTATTGTAAATTTAAAGTTTACGTGTGAATTGGAATATAAATTCTCAAACTTATTTTTCATACGCTCGTCCATAATCAAATCTCTTTCATTTTATAAATCTTAATATATTTAATTATATCAGTTACTTTCTCCGTTTGCCCATAACTACTTTTTTCATTTTTTTCTTTCACCAAAACACTTCTACTTTCTATTAAAAATCATTTTTACCTCTACTAACTCTTACCTAACCCATCACATCATTTATAATTTACACATCACAAGAACAAAATTGGAAAGTCAACTCCAAATGTTTGTATTTTTTATTTTTTATCAAAGTCATTATAGGAATTATAGGGATTAGGGAGTATTAAAGTTCATAAGAAAAGAATTTGTCATAATCCTTAAAATGGAAGCTATAAAACAGAACAGATCCTTTTTCAAATAACTTTGTTCTCAATATTGGAATCATTTTAACGTACCAAATTAGGAGAGCAGCACAGGATGAGCTGCGGAGAAGGAAAAGTCTCACTGCGCGTTGGATTAGTCAATAACTGCCCCAAATTTGTCAACAAGAGACCATTTCTCTAACCCTCAATTTCGGAATCAGTCGTTCATAATCTCTCCCCAATCTCTGGATTAGGTTTCCTACTGTTTGAGATTTTGATCAGGTTTGATTTCTTTCTTTTTTGTTGTTGTTTTGAGCTGATTATTTCATTGCTTGATCCGAGGAAGTAGATGAGCTTGCATTTTCAGTCAAATTTCCGTGCAATTTATACCATTTCTTATTTTTGTGATGATCAATGAAATCTGAACTGGAATGCTGTTACCTAAGCTCTGTTAATGCAACTGGTCATGAATTACTGTCAAAGGGTGCCATAGTTTGACAAAAAAAGTCAAACTTCATCAATCTTTTAGGGACATAGGGAGTAGAAATTACACATTTTAAAACTACATCAAAATATCAATAAAACAAGGGGTGACATGATTATATTATTTTATCAAACGAGTAACAAAAATAGGAAAAAGAGAGTACTCCGTATAATACTTTGGGACAAAGAGAGTACTCCGTATAATATTTTAATTAGACTTTTATGTAATTTATAAATACATACAACAATAATATAAATAATACAAAATATTAATACATGTATGATTTTTCAAAAAAAAAAGAAAGTAAAAACACGGCAATATTATTAAAATCTCGTTTGGAAATATAAGTATATACACTAAAAAGGATATAAGAAAAAAATAACACTATTTTTATCACATTATATTTCATACTAAAGTACATGGTTTTGGAAAACTCTTCCTTAGTGCCTTAGCGGGTTGGGGAGGTTGGGTTCGGGTTCGGTTGGGTTCCACCCATTTTTAGCTAGTCATTTTGGGTTCGGTTAGCAAAACTTTTGTTCAAGACCAAGTACTTTCAGGTCGGGTCTTTGGTCAAAAATATGTCAGGTCATTCTTTGCCATGTCGAGTTAATTCAGCAACTTAAGTATATACTTTGTTTTATATATTTCTCCATTCTGCACCAGCAAGCAATACATCTTCTAGAGCATGGGGTGGGGGAGTCTATACAAGAGACGCCTAAAAGTTTGCACTTTAGCTATTGTTATCTACCTGGATTATAAGGTAATTTTTCTCTGGAATTGGTATATTGTCATTGATAGATTCATATTCTGAGAGAGAGTGTGTGTCCATTTGTGTCTGCACGTTTGCACACGCACGTTCCTAAATATATCTTTCATTATGAAACCAGGTGAACTGTTTCTTCATTTTATGTATTTGTTTCTTTGAGCTTTGAAGGCTTTACAACAGAGGGAAAAGTGGACAAAGAAGCCGAAGATAGATGCTCTTTGGAAAAAAGCTCATGAGCGGAATGCAAAACGGGTTCTCTATTTGATGATAGAGTTAGAAGGTCTATGGGTGAAACTAGGACAATACCTATCCACGCGTGCTGATGTACTTCCAGAAGCCTATATAAACTTGTTAAAACAATTACAGGACTCTCTTCCACCTCGCCCTTTAGAAGAGGTATTATTTCCCCATATTATGTTCTTTGAACCATGTCTTCATATGAAAAGAGTGAGAAGGAATCAATATAAAATAAGAAAACTTATATTTTTCATATGATAATCGATTATCCATATTGAGCATTTCATCAACTCTTTATTTCCACATATGCCTCTAATTAATGTGTCTTTGTATACCAGATGTACACTACCTACTTACTGTAACTTATGACATATTATTGCATATATGAAAAACATAGATAAAATTCAATGTTGTACTTGCCTTAGCTATCATCTGTATATCCATGTAAACTAACTATAGGCCTGTCTTTGGGGGATTGAAGGAGTTTATGGTTTTCATGCTTCACCACTTAATCATTATGGTTGTAATTAATTATTAGGTTGCTTATTTGCAATGGCTTAGGTTGAGTGAGTTAATATGATTTTGCTTGACGACTACATGTATTTGAGCAAGGTAGTACAAGAATAGTTTTGTAACTTACTAACTTGATATGGATCCTTGCTAGGCTGTGCTCAAAATGCAATCCTTTTCAATCGTTTTGTATCTTTGGATATCCAATTAAGTGTCAGTTTAAAACATAAATGATGTGTCCAAATTTAAAACCAATTATAATATTCAGCCATCAATTTGATGCTTTTTTTTACAGGTTTACCAAACTATAGAAAAAGAGCTGGGAAAATCCACGGCCGATCTATTCTTGTATTTTGATGAAGTTCCTCTGGCAACAGCATCAGTAAGTAACTAGGAATATATAGGCATAACTCTATAAAAATAAACCACAAACATCTTGTTATATTCAATAGATTTTCTATGCATGAATTTTAGACTAGAAGTTACTGTTGAATACCTTTAGACTAGTATATTAAGCTGGAAAGTGTTTGTTTTAAAGTAAGAGTAGTTGGGTGTAAAGGGTTGCTAATACAATGAAGTTCTTTCTTCGCAAACACTGCACCTCTGATGAAAAAGATCACTGTTTCTGATCAAATGGGCATGCAAATATTGCGCAGGTTACTTCACAGGAACACTGTCAAAGTTCTTGACACACACACACACACATATATTTCTTGTAAACAACGGAAATGATTATGCTCACCATATGGAAGGTTACATTATGTTGTGTTATCCTTACTGACGTATGCCTGAATGCCATCTCCATGCAGATAGCACAAGTTCATCGTGCAACTTTGCGTGATGGGCAGGAAGCTGTTGTTAAGGTTCAGCATGATGGCGTAAAGATAGTAATCTTGGAGGTTTCTATTGTTTCACATATATACAGTTTAACTTTCTTTTGTTGTTAGAATGCTTGGTTATAGAAGTGGTATTACTTGGATCATGCTCATTAATAGTGTTACTTCTTTTGCAGGATCTGAAAAATGCTAAATCAATAGCAGATTGGATAGCTTGGGCAGAACCACAATATAACTTTAATCCTATGATAGATGAATGGTGCAAAGAAGTACCCAAGGAACTAGACTTTAATCATGAGGCAGGTGTGTAGTGTGTCAAAATGACAGAGTTCTTCTAAAGTTGATTGTCAAATATTGAATGCATTTTTTTCATTTTGTTGCTAGAAAATACTCGTAAGGTCTCAAGTAACCTAGGCTGCAGAAAGAATTCTAAAGCTTCCAATTTAGTTGATGTATTAATTCCTGAAGTTATTCAGGTATGTTCTTATAAGCTCCCACCAAAAGCTGAGTTTTGGCTTGAACTTGACTGAGATAAACATAAAAGCATTGCATGACTAGCAATATGTGTACATATCTCAAGAATGACCTTATTAAGATGGGCTAACTTCAAATACTCTCATACTCTTTATGTGGAATTGTTGAAGTATATTGTGTATCAAAAGTATGGTTGTCAAAGTATTGCTTTAGGATTCTTAGAGCACACAATTTTGTCTCTATGGACAATTGGACACTGTGCTTAATGTCCAATAGTTAAATCCAATTGCGAAGATTACTCTTTCATTATTACATCATTATTCTCCAAAAATAGCCAAAAGATGTATCATGTATGTGGGTATGGAAATGAGAATGATGCATTTTCGGGCCGCCATGATGTGTTTTAGAATTGTAGTAGTGCATTTTTGGCATTGGCAGGTAAGTTCAATTTATTTACAAAACTGCGACCACAATTTTTCATTTTGTTTTCAGATTTTTTATTTTTTTAATAGCCCTTAGATCTTAAATCTAATGGTTCATATGCATTCTCATTTCTTTCACTGGACATCATTCTCATTTGAACCAAAGTCTTTCTCTCTCTCTATATATGTGTGTGTGTGTCTAAATATATATATATATATATATATATATATATATGAAAAATGAAGTTTGGCCGGTCTGATATTCCGTCAAATTCAGGTGTTAGTTGTCTTCCCTTTTTGGCTTTACTCTCTGCTTCTTTTTTAATAGGCTTATCATTTTATTTGACACGTAATGTGCACTCAAGCTAATTCTTGCATACTTTCACCATTTATATATGGATAACACCACATGTTCAATTCTTCTTGTCCGTATGTCTGCCATTCCATAATTGCAGTCTACAGAAAAGGTCCTCATACTAGAGTACATGGATGGCATTCGTTTAAATGATTCCGAAGCGCTTCAGGCTTTGGGTGTTGATAAACAAAAACTCGTTGAAGGAATTACACGTGCATATGCACATCAAATTTACGTGGACGGATTCTTCAATGGTGACCCACATCCTGGTGTGTTGTCTTCGCCCTCTTCCCATGTCCCTTCCCAAACTTTATGGGAATTTCTGTCTACAATGATTGATTCTGAAGACACAAATGAGTATCTTTTACTTTTCCTTCTGATTCTTTTTATATTTTTTATTGTACTGTTAAATTAGGCAATTTTCTTGTGAGCAAGAAACCTCCGCATTCCCCCATTTTGCTTGATTTTGGGCTCACAAAGTTGCTGCCAAACTCTACAAAACAAGCTCTTGCAAAAATGTTCTTGGCTTCAGCTGAGGTCAGCCATCCTTTTAATATAAATGAGCTTGATCAGATGCCTGCAATTCATGATCCTCACCTTAAAATTTCCCTTACATTGACTCTTTATGGAAAGGGTGGGTATGTCACAATTGCTGGGATCTTGTATCGTGGAGGTCGAGAATTTGAATTACCTACTGCCTTGCAAAATGCAAGTAAAAAGTGGCCTAGATTTAACCCTTTCCTTGGCCCCCATTGTGTGGGAGCTTCAGTACTGGGTAAAATTTAAAAAATCTAACATGCTGAGAACATTAATGTATCAAAAGAATAGATGAAATTTCTCATGCAGTTTTTTTAATGATGGATTGGTTGTCTTTAACTTCATTTAAAATGGTTTTAATGGAATTAACTTTTAATCGATGTGTACCTTATTTTATTGTTTTATGATATAAGGAGCTTGAGATTAATTTACCTCAGAACCTGATATGCGTATGCTATACTTTCACATCACTTACCTGGGGCATCAGAATATATGACACTCCCTCTGTCCCAAAAAAAGAGTCTTCATTTGACTCAGTATGGAGATTAAGAAAAGTTATAAATGTTGTTGACTTTTCAATGTTGCTCTCATTTGAATGGAGGAGAAGCAAGGTAGAGTGATGAATGATGATGCTAATAAAGGGTAAATAGTGAAAAAAGTGAAGGGCCTAAAAGAGAATTCAACTTAAAAACATTTCTTTTAATGGAAAGAGGAACCTTTTTTGGGACATCCGGAAAAGGAAATGCAGACTTTTTTTTTGGGACAGAGGGAGCATTACAAATTCAATTTTACTACATGGGAATCTATATCATGATGTGGATACTCTATAGTCTATACACATAACTTAGTTTTGCTCTGTATTTTTGTGAACTTTAACATCACCTTTTTTTTCAAATGTTATCTTTATCACGTTGTACACGTACCTTGTGTCTCAATAAATAATGGCTTACAATTATTGCTGTCTGTTATTATAGAGAATTAGAGACTGAATCTACTTCATCTTTCAGGGAGATCATGTGGCACTATTGTCTGCTTTCTCAGAAATGGGACTTACATTCCGCCTTGACATTCCAGAGCAGGCTATGGAGATAACAAATATGTTCTTTCGTTCTTCAACTCCTGCAGCCGAAGCTGTCGTGAGTATGCTGTCGCTATAATGTTGTCCAACCGCTAAATGTTTACTAATTGACCCGTATGATGAAGGAAACCATGAAATCAATGGCTGAGCAAAGGGAAAAAAATCTCAAGGTTCTCCAAGAAAAGACAAAACTAAGCAAAAAAGAAGTGAAGCGATTTAATCCTGTAAGTCTGATCTGAACTGATTTTTCTTTGTCTGTTTTGATTGGTTCTGATTTAAATTTATTAAGGTCTCTCTAATCTGAACTGATATGATTTGGTCTGATGTGATTCTTGTTAAAGTTAAAGCTATTTTTTTCTATCTAATCTAGTCTGATTTGGTTTGATTTAATTTGATTTCCAATTTTAATAAGTACTCCCATCGTCTCGTAATTTTCTTCCTTCTTTCCTTTAAGGAAACAACTGTGTGTTCCATATCAATTTTCTTTCCTCTACACAAACCACAACCATCCACATTCCACTTTATTTAGAACCGTGCCATGTCAACCCCGGAAAATAATTCCAGGACACAAGGAGTAATAAGAATAAGTTAAAGAGAACATGCTCTTAGTTGGACATTAAACTGATGTTACTCCCACTCGTCCCAAAAAGTTATGCTTCAAATGTTTTATTTGGCCCAAAAAGAGTCATTTTTTCAAACGGAATTAATAGTGTAGGATTCCACGACTTCTGTACCTTGTCAACATTTAAAAAGTGCACATTGACCAAAACAGACAATTTTTTCTTGGGAAAGGAGTAATTTCTGTATATAAAAACTAGGATCTGAACACTTTACTGTTTATATTCAGGTCAATGCATTTCCTGGTGATATAGTGATATTTGGCAGGGTCCTTAATCTGCTTCGAGGTCTGTAATTAAATCACTTATGTAAATACCATGTCATTTATTTAATCGACGCAGCTAAAATAATTGAAAGTTTGTGTAGCCGTGTAGGAGACCATAGATGGAAATGAGTTTTAAAAATAAAAGAATAAAAGTAGAGAGTGTGTGTGTGTGTATGGAACGGTGGGAGGGTTTGTTTTCCCTGTTGAAAAATCTACTCCATTGGATCTAGAATCTAATGGATGATATTAAAAGTTCACATAATGCTTTATTAGACTTAAAATGTGATGCACCGTATTGGTTCTCATTTTTTTACCTAAAGCACATTTTTTTCATCCACATACATGGGATCATGATGCGGGATTATTTATTTGTAATACTCATTTAATGACCGACTTGGTTTCAGGCTTATCAGCGACATTGAATGTGCGCATAATTTATATTGACATAATGAGACCATTTGCTGAATCTGTATTGAAATGGTAAGTAGTAACAATGCTATTTTTGGTACTTCATTAGATGCTTCTCTCATTTATAACTGCAAATGTAATTGTATCAGCAACTTAAATAAAGGGCCCGTGGCAAATCCACAATGGATTTATGACACCCCTATCCTCTCTGATGTTGAGGCCAAACTGCGGCTGCTCTTAGTTGAACTCGGAACTGCTGACAAAATACTTGGGATTCAGGTATGTAGTAGAGTTCATCATATTCTGTTTGGTAACTATTATCTCTTGAAGTTTTAGATAGTAGTCATGTAGGTTTGTTTCTCTTTTCTATCTTGTAACAAGCAATGGACAGGTGCACAGTGTGCTATATCTAAAACCAGAGTATAGACAAGGGTGAAGATGCTCTTCCAGTTCTTATCATGCATGCATTTTCAACACACACACACACACACACACTAGTAACATAGTTTCTTTGGATTTTTTGCTTTCCTTGGACCCTATTTGTGGATTTATCAAGGCTTTTTAGTTTTGTGCATCATTGGTCAAGCAGTCCTAGAAGGAACAGAAAACATCCCGGAACATTTTCTGATGAAATATATCATATCTGCCAAAGCAAATGCAACATTGATTTCACCATTGGTCATTGCTAATTTGTGCATGCTTGTTTATGTCTTCTTTTTAATTCCTTCGAAGGTTTGTGCCTACAAAGATGGAAACGTGATCATCGATACTTCTGCTGGTGTGCTTGGAAGATATGATCCACGACCAGTTCAACCTGATAGCTTATTTTCTGTTTTTTCAGTAACAAAGGGAATCACAGCAGGAATGCTGCATTGGCTTGTTGATAAAGGGTAAGTTTTACATGGTGTTCAATTGACATATGTTGTCAAAAACTCTGCCTTTGCGTACCACAAAGTAGAACATACACACTAGATTTTCTATTCTGCATTCAGTTCATGCAACAATTTTTCTTTTCAAATTTGTATGATAATTCAGTGAATTCAAATTGCAAAACACACCAAGTATTACGTTTTGTTTTCTAAGTTCCCGTTTTCATTTTATTGCATTTTCTAAGGGGATTTTAATCTTACTAAAGACTAAAGAGATCATAAGGAAAATAGGATAAACAGAATGATCCTGCATGCAAGACACAAAATTTATAAACAAAAAAGTGTTAGTTGTCTATATAATGCAGATATGATCTCTTAGACCAAGTCCAATGTGTTGTATCCATCATCATCTTTGCAACTCACCTTGATAACTTTATATAACATTGCCTAACTGTTTTGGCTTTTAAGATATGATAGCAACAATATTTTTGAATGCTTCCTGTTATCTCCATATGTTCCTTCACCCCCACCCCACCCATGCCCCCCCGGTTTGCTCTCTTGTTTCTTGCTGTCTTTTATAATGCACACCTTATATATTGAGAGCAATCAAAATTCAGTATATGATAACATCTTACATTATATGATGACACCATACTTAACAGTAACCAATTCAAAAGAATCCACAACAGGTAAAAAAAGTGGCCTGTGTGTGACCCAATAAAATAATTTGATCGTGCCTATTGTGATAGACTAGAGAGATTCACATAGGGAAGAAGAAGATGGAAGATGAATGTGCATCCAACAATATTTTTTATTCAAATTCAGCCTGTCATACTATTACAACACTTTTTTGTTTATAAAGGATTACAATTCCAATGTAATAAGGAAACTTAAACAATCTGCCAAATATAAGAAATTACATAATAATTGTAGTTGCCTCAGAACAGGAAGCTGGATAAATAAAATAAATTAAGGAAATCGAGTCCCTTTATTTGTGGACATGACTGGTGCTCCATGTGTGAATCACATAAGTACTTGGAATTACAAAATATTTAATGAATTATTCCCATCTATTGTCTGTCATAACTGTTCACGATATGTGATTTAGCAGAAAACTAAGGATTGATGAGAATGTAGCAAACATTTGGCCAGAATTTGGATCCAATGGGAAAGATCAAATAAAGGTTGACATTTGCAACTTAAGTTCCTCTTTTATTTTCATATGTTGTTTCCTCTCTACATTTTCTCCTTGGCTGTCTCGGATCTAGATATAAAATTGCAATTTGATGCTGAGAAATATAAGTCTGGTGCTCAAATAAACTATTGGTTAATTAGATGACTAGAGTCTACTTTTGGAAATTTACTGGGTTTGTTGTTGTTGAGATTCTACATTTTTTTCTCTTAGCAACTAAATCAAATTATTGTGGATGTTGTTATTCTTAATGCCAGGTTCACCATGTGCTTAACCATACATCTGGTTTGCATAATGCCCTTGCTGACCTGGCTCGAGAAAACCCACTATTTATGAGCGATTGGGACGAATCTTTGAACCGCATTGCCATGACTACCCCAGAGACTGAACCTGGTCAGAAGCAGCTTTACCATTATTTATCTTTTGGCTGGTTATGTGGTGGGATAATTGAGGTATAGGACATCGTTCTGTAGTATTCATTATTAAATTTCTTTAAAAATGTATACACCCTATCTTAGTCATTAATTTTACTAAACAGCGGGCTTCTGGAAAACGATTTCAACAAGTTCTTGAAGAAGCGTTTATTCACCCTCTTAAACTTGAAGGGGAGCTTTATATCGGAGTTCCTCCAGGCATGTTTCACATTTTCTAATGCTTCTATACACTCTCCATCCCGAAAAAAAGTTCCCTTTTCATTTGTCCCATATTAAGGTCTTGTCTCCTTTTTTTGAAGTGGTTTTTGTTATCTCTCCTGAGTCTCCTCGGCATATGTCTAAACTACACAAGTTCTATTTAGAAAAAACATACAACACGAACCAACCAGTTGAATCCCACTAGCGCAGGACATAGATAGTATTTGTTTTGTTTAAATATTGATTTGCATGCATTTAAACGTTCATTACAGCTACCGACTTTCATTTAATACTCCCCCATCCTTAAATTGTAGTTGTAGTTTAACGTCAGGGAGCTTAAGAAAAGTGTTTAAATGTGAAAAGTGTGAGGTTGGATTTCAATTAGAAGATAGAAGTATTGTGCACCACACATTCTTTTCCTTAATTAAGAAAAGGGAGAAATGCAAAGTTTATTTTATAACAGACGAAGAATGAAAGTGTGAATTCAATTTGGAGAAAAGTGGAACACTATTCAAAATTCAGAGCAGTTTAGTTTTCCAATGTTTTTTCTCCCTCCCTTCCATTCTAGAGTCACTTTACTAAATAATACCCTGGATTTGTTTTAATCTGTCACTCCTGGTGATCACCAAGAGAAATTAAATAATCCTTTTCCAACTTTACCAGTTACCATGCCTGATGTCTTGTTTTTGGAGTACAAGTGTATATCAAATTATAAATGCTTCCAACTTTGTACAGTACTAATTACTTAAGGCTAATCTGGCCATTTTCTGTTGATAAGCAGAAGCCAATTTTTGTCTGTGCTTATGTGTTTGAACCGGGTGTCTCTTGGAAACAATCTTTCTATTTTTGAGTAGGGTAAGGTCTATGTACACACATGCTCCCTAGACCATACTTTTTGTGAGATTTTATTGAGTTTTCATGGTCCCTAGCCATTTTTTTCGCCACCAAATGGATTTTACACATTAAGTTATTTGCCTTGACAACAACTAATTGGGGATTTGATTTCTTTCTCTCTTTCTTTTGGGACAAATTGTCTATTGTAGGTGTAGAGTCAAGACTGGCTACGCTTACTTTGGATACAGATGATGTGAGTCGACTTTCGGAAACAATCACCCGTCCGGACCTACCCTCAACCTTCCAACCACAAAACATTGCTCAAACTGCGTCCGCACTTCCTGTCATATTCAACACACTCAACATTCGACGTGCCATCATACCCTCTGTCAATGGACATTGCTCGGCCCGTGCACTTGCCCGCTACTACGCGGCGCTTGTTGATGGAGGCAAGATCCCACCATTGCCACCATCGTCTTCCTCTACCCAACCACTAGGGACCCACCCTCACACCCCGAAGCTCTCTCCCCCAAAGAAGACTCCCAAGAAAATGTTGGGTAGGTCATGCTGGAAAGCTGTGGCGGGTCCCAGTAGCTTGGATAGCAGAAATGGTAGTGCCAACCATGAGTACACATTGGTTGTCAATGGTGATAGTTCTCCAAGTGATGACTATAATGATGGGAAGCTTTTCAACAACCCGAGCATCCACGAAGCATTCTTGGGCATCGGGGAATTTGATAACCTGGTCCATCCAAACGGGCAGTTTGGGCTCGGTTTCAAAAGGATAGTCTCAAAGGATGGAGGAGGCATTGTTGGCTTTGGTCATTCGGGCATTGGTGGATCAATGGGCTTTTGCGACATCAAGAACAGGTTCGCTATTGCAATCACACTAAACAAGTTGTCATTTGGTGCAGTGACTTCAAGAATAATTGAGTTGGTTTGCTCTGAACTTAATATTCCAGTGCCAGATGATATCTCCAGCAGACTGGAGATGGAGATATCATCTATGAGTTTAGCACAACCAATTATAAACTGATATACATGTATATGCAGGGAAGAGATCGTTTGACAGCCACTTTGGGTGTCATACTATGACACTGGCCATTTGAGAGCCCTACGGTGCTCTGTTAGACTCCAAACTGGGTCCTACCCTCCTAACCCCCACCCCCACAAAATGCCCAGCCGACCCCCAACCCCAACACAGTAACATTTTGGCTATCCAATGGGGATGGGGGCATGAATCAGTTGTGGGGGTGGGGGGGGGGGGTGGGGGTGTGGAAGGGGGCATATGACCCACTTTGAGGTCTGAGGGAGGATCGTAGCGTCCCGAGGTCATATTATGACACCCAAAATCGTGTCAAAAGACTAGTGGGAGTATATGTATAAAAGTATACAAGTGTATAATAAAGCTCAAACTCTTTTTATTCACAATATACTCCGTACTACTTTTGAATTGTTGGAAATATGGACATAAATGACTTACAAATGAAAATGTTGTCATAGTTAATACTCCAATTAAAGTACTCCAACTCTTGTAATTTTAGGACAATTATAATTTATAAACAAGGTATTCATTTACCAATAAGGTTCTTATGCATAGAGTGAATCTCATACTCCGTATATATGCTATCTCCCAATTGAATGTTTATAGAGTTTACGTTGTTTCATTGAAATTATTTTTATTTAATTTATTCAATAATTAGTATAAAATTAAAAAATACTTCATAATATATATATATATATATATATATGCTCCCTTTGTCCCTTAAAAATTTTACTGTTTGATTTTTTTGATCATCTGGGAATACACTAACTATTGATAAATATAATCTTAAAAAACAAATGTTATATACGGAGTACCTCTTAAAATAAACTCAATCATATTTAATTTACGTTATAACTAATTATTATTTTTCATAATTAATAGTCAATTTTAGGGTTCCGAGGTCATATTATGACACCCAAAATCGGTTTCAAAAGAATCGTGGGAGGATATGTATAATTGTATACAAGTATATAATAAAGTTCAAACTCTTTTTATTCACCTTGTTGAATAATAACAATATACTTCCTCCGTCCCAATTTATAGTGTCTGTTCAGTATATTCACAGTATAAAACTTCATTTACTTTCTTTCTCTATTTTCGTTAGCAATTTGATAAAACAAAGTACTATTCTCACTACTAGTTTTGTAGATCTTTTGATGTAGTATTTTAATATGTAATTTTTTATTTTTTTAATTCTATACCATTTTTCATATAAAATGATTTTAAAATAATTTCAATCAAACATCGTAAACCGAAACAGGCACTATAAATTGGGACGGAGGGAGAACTATGTATTATGGAGTACAAGAGTTTTTTTCAATTTATTTTTTCCTCCCAAAAAATTTGTCATATAATTATTTTGAATTAAGATATTTGTACACCAAAAATTGTACATCAAAGATATGCACCAATATTTTGTGCTAGTGTGAATGTTTACACTGTTACAAAATGTCAGTACAATTTTTTTGATTAAACTAGCATTTTATGCCACTGCGAACTGTTAAAATGTTGTTGTATCCTTTTAGGGTACAACACTTCTTGGTGTATCCATAGCATGGTTGAATTATTTTCTTACGTTCTCTTTCCCCTTTAGGAAAAAAAATATGTGGACCAAAATATACTCATCTTTTTCAAATAAATTAATTACTTTTCACTTTTAACATTTTTCAGCATCTTTTTAATGTTTTTATTTTGGTGATGTCAAAGTGAGAAAAATAAGCTAATGAGTGAAAGCAGAAGGGTTGGGTACATAAGAGCATTAACAATGGCAAGACAAAATTGAAATGTCACACGGTGACATGGATTATTTCAACCAATAAAAAGTAATCCAGTCATCGTGTGGCAAATGAGTAGAGTGTCGTAACATACAGTGGCAAGTCGTTGTTTTTGTCTATTTTGCACTTTTTATTGATTTTTAATCATAAAAAATTATTTTAAAAATCTATTTTATTATTAAAATATGTTTACTTCTTTTAAAAATATTTTTTCAAAAATTACAAATATTAAAAATATTAAAAAAATAAAAAATGAGAGAGTCATGTCTTGCACATGGAATGGAAAGTGGGGCGGAATGGTCATGGAATGCCATGATTTGAGTGGAATTTGCTGACATGGCAAGGCAAGACAAGACATTGCCTGTGAATGCTCTAAAAGAAAGGTAAATTTTTACGTGATCTTAAGGTCAATCCTTATTTTATAGATCTTAGTGCATTGATATTATAAAAGAATTGAGTGTTTAACAAAAAAAGATTCACTTGCTAGACGATGAAAAGTTTGAGAAAGATATATATTTTATGTATAGACTTTAGGACAATAAAAAATGTGACCCTTTTTCCTAAAATGGGATTCGTTTGACTTTTACCAGGGTTTAAAAAAAGAAATACTCCGTAACTCATATTGATTGAAACAAATCTATGAATCACATATATTCATTATCCCTGAATTATACTTTTAGAAATGTATTGGATTGTGTGTAAAAATGAAAGTGGTCAAATACTCTGGGACGGAGAGAGTAATTAATACCCTTGAAAATTAATATAGATTCCAGGGTTTTATATTTTTACTGGAACCAAAGTCACAACTCTCACAAGTCTCACATTTGCGTTCTCTCGCCTGTCGCCGCACTTCCTCAGCCGTCGCCGCCTAACTCCGACACACTTCGGCGGTACCGTCGATTCCGACTCGCCTTCGACCCTCCCCGGCTACCGTTCTCCGTTCGAACTCGAAACATTTGCAAGGTTTGTTTTTCCCGATGAAACATTCATCGCGATTCTAAATTTTGCAGTAATTGCAGTGTGTTGAAGGGCATGGCTCATATATGAAATATGTATATGCAAGATATGCATGTGAACTGAGATTTTTTGTAGATAGAATGTATGATCATCGGTCCATTTGATATTCCATACGAATTGCTTATCTGAAATAGCTACTCTGAAACCTTTATTTTGTTTTCCTCCGTTCAGTAACAGCTACTCGTCTCCGTCATCCATAAGGCTAGGCATTTCCCTTAGCTTCTGCTTACCTCTCTCTTTGAAGCTCATGGCTCTCCTCTTCTTCTTCAATTTGAAGAAGATTCGTTTTTCTAAATTTAATTTACAAAAAAGGAAAAATAGACGAAGTGAAGAATTGAGTTCTTGGACTTGAATCATCTGCTTCTAGGGTTCCTGATTTCTTGTGCAGGGTGAAGGACATGCACAAAAACCACCACAAACAATTTCTGTAGTTTGAGCTTAGCGCTTATAAGTTGCTTAATGGAATAACTTTTCATTTGGATTTGTTTTGGGGCTTACATATACCTCACGTTGGATATACCCTGGGTGTTTCACATACATTATCATGTTTTTTTTTGCTCTTAGTTCATTTCATATTTTTTTCTGAATGTACGTAGGATGACTATGATCATTTTCTTCTCTTCTATTTAGGCAAAAGAAACTCTATTTTGCTCCTAATTCCAAAATATGGACATTGATTCTAAAGCACCTGAAGAGGATGAGGTTACCATGGAAACTGAAAGCAGGGTACAAGAATTATGTTTCTTTACATCTTCCCTTTTTAATTTTCTCAAAATATTGATTTTCTACTATATGCAACTTTTTAACCCTCTTCCGTACTTTAGGGCAAGGAGAAGGTCGACATTTCCACTTCAATGGAAAATCTTCAAATCGAGAAGCCATCAAATTTTAACCGGAAGCCTGTTATCATCATTGTGGTAGGAATGGCAGGTAATATTAACACCGAGGGGTAGATATATATATATATATGACAAGAGAAATGTTGTCCATAGGTTGGACATTGCTACAGCTTATCTATATTCTCTATTTTATACTCATAATGTACAATGACTAGAAATGTCTGTAGTGCCATCTTGATTTCCATGTAATATTTAAGGAATCTAAGAAAACAATTGATAACCAGGTAGTGGAAAAACTACATTTCTCCACCGCCTTGTTTGTCACACAATGGCTTCTAATATTCGTGGTTATGTAATGAACCTTGACCCCGCTGTGATGACCCTTCCATTTGGAGCAAATATTGACATAAGAGACACTGTTCGCTACAAGGAGGTCATGAAGCAATTCAATCTTGGTCCTAATGGAGGAATCCTTACTTCCCTGAACTTGTTTGCTACGAAGTTTGATGAGGTGAAGCTTTTCCTTCCTTTCTTAATTTTTTTAGCCACATTGCTTTGAGCAAGTCTCACCATTTTTCTTGCCATGTTGTTTGGGCCTCATGCCTTTGTGTACTCTTATTTGGGGGTCATTTTATGTTTCTTTTCCCTTTTGTATGCTTTTCTTGTATAAAATGGTTTATCAGCTATTTATACATGGACTGAAGTTAGGCCCGATAGCATAATGTCCCACAAAGATAGTCCACTACTTTTTTGTGCACAAATTGAGAAATGATTGTCCATTTTGGATGTATACATAGAATTATGTCTAAACAAAAAGAGTTGAAACTCGTATATAAAATTGATAAGCTTAATTTGAAACAGTTTTTTTCCTTGACATTTATTTGCTTCAGAATATTTCCAATATTTTACTCCGTATTGTCTTTTCTAGCTTTTTCTACCCAAACAGACCCTAAGAGCTTGTGAAAGTTGCTCTTCCACCTTGTTATTCTATAGAAAAGTAGAAGATTATGTGTCAAACAAAATTTCAGGTAATATCAACTATAGAGAAACGAGCAGATGAACTGGACTATGTTCTCGTTGACACACCTGGCCAGATAGAGATTTTCACATGGTCTGCTTCTGGTGCAATTATCACAGAAGCTTTTGCATCTACCTTTCCCACTGTGGTTACATATGTGGTCGACACACCACGTTCTTCGAATCCAGCTACCTTTATGAGTAACATGCTTTATGCATGCAGTATCCTCTACAAGACACGACTGCCTCTTGTATTGGCTTTCAACAAAACAGATGTAGCACATCATCAATTTGCTTTGGAGGTATAGTAAACTTTGATTTTTAATGGATGACCATTGGATATGAATTCTAATGGACTTACTATGTGAGCGTTCTAGATGGGGTTTGGATCCCCTGTAGACTGTAGTAACCCCCGTGCAAGGTGAAGTTGCTACATAACGGTCTTGATTAGTTTTGTACTATTTCTTTGAAATTTTTTCAGTGACTATGCTTTTCTCATTATGTGAGTGCAGTGGATGGAGGATTTTGAAGCATTTCATGCAACACTTGACTCGGACAGCTCTTACACTTCGACCTTGACACGAAGCCTATCCCTTTCACTGGAAGAGTTCTACAAGAATCTCAAATCTGTCGGAGTCTCTGCAGTTTCAGGTGCTGGGGTGGATGCATTCTTCAAGGCCATCGATGCAAGTGCAGAGGAGTACATGGAAACCTACAAGTATGTATTCCACTGTTGTTTTCTTAGGTTTACACAGCGTTTGTTAAGAGTTAGTACTCGGTTTAGTCCCTCGTCTATACCCCATGAAACAATCTGCTCCTTAATTTTTTCCCTTTTTTTTACTCAATGTGGTCCTCGGACACGCAATTGGGGTAAGGTCTACTTACACACACCCCCGAGACCCTATCATGCGTGGGTTTTACCAGAATTGTTGTTGATTCACCAAATTCAGAGTTTCAGACTCAATTCGGTTCTTTGGTTTGTACTTTGAACCCAATTTAGTCCAGATTGAAAAATAACCAAGGCCTAGTTGTGGACTAAATTTAGTTTATTGGCTATATCAGAATGGTTTGAAAACAATGAGGCTTACTTATTTCCAATAATTTACAGAAATCTGCCTTTTCTTTTCCAACGCCGGCCTAATCTATCTCATCGTTTCTGTATTCCGAAAAGTCAAAAGACGTAAAATAGAAGACGAAAGCATTAGACATTTATTGAACAATACATTTCATTTCTTTTATGTTTCTCTTTTTTTTAGGGCGGAACTCGACAAGAGGCGGGCCGAGAAGCAACGTTTGGAGGAAGAGCGCAGGCGGGAGAACATGGAGAAGCTGAGGAGCGACATGGAGAATTCCAGGGGAGGGACTGTGGTCTTGAACGCCGGTTTGAAGGGCAAACAAGCGAAAAGTGGGGCTGCCATGATGGAAGACGCGGATGATGATGAGGATGATGACGTGGATGAGGATTTTGACAGACTCAACGAGGACAACGATGACGAGGATGATGACATCAGAAGTGACGACGACGAAGAAGTTGGAAATTTTGCGTTCTGATAATGTGACGCGATCGGTTTTCCTTGGGAACAACGACACCCGGTGTGTATATTTCTGGAGAAGATTGTGAAAGTATATATGGCAACTTTGCCATTGTTCTTTTCCCATTTTAACTTGGAATATTGAAGTGTCTCCATGTTATTCAAGTGTGACAAAACTGGGCTCATACACTTGCAGATGGGTGTTTCTCTTAATGCTAGTTTAAAAATTTGCTACTTAGAAACGAAAAAAAAATCAATGTGCATTTCTTTTGGGAAAAAATGGATTAATTAGGGACGTATTTAACAAAATTAAGATATTTTTATGGCTTTTATATATTGCTTAACCAAACACGGTGCAATTGTAGTCATGAGTATCAACAATCTTTTTGCACAAACTTATAGAAATGAATTGTCTGATAAAGATGCGATGAGGCATTTTGATCAAAATTCCTTCCTTTCCAAATTAAGTTGTCAGCTTATTATTTACATACTTAAATTTTAGTATTTTTTTCTATTTCTACTATTCATTTGATAAAATAATATAGTCATGTCACTTCTTGTTTCGTTAAGTTTTTTATGTATTCCCTCCGTCCCAATTTAAATCGTCTGTTTTGACTTTTGGGCATATTTAAGGAAAATAAAAAATAGAGTTGATTTTTCGAAATATTAATTTTTAGGAGGGGTGATGATAAATGAGAAGATAAGGTGAAGAAGAATGACTTATTTTAGGGGTAGTTTAGGTATTTTATTTTTACAAGTTTACGAAAACAACTAATAGGCAACTTATTTTAGGACGGAGAAAAAAGGCAAACAGGCAATTTAAAATGGGACAGAGGGAGTAGTTTTTTCAATGTCTATTTTTAATTCTGTTCAAATTTTCTAATAAATTTCATTGAAAATAACTTTAGTCAGGTATTGTAAACTGAAATAGACTATTTAATTTAAACGGATGGAGTAGTATGTTGCATGGCTTCTTCATTAATGATGCTTTTTGTCTTTGAAACATTTCCGTTTGAATGCTTGAAGACGACTCTCCACTCAAATCCTTTGTAAAATTTGGAAATCTTGCTTCCTCGTTACCTACGCCGTCTTTGTGTAATTTAGAGTCCGTTTGGAAAGGGAAGAAAAAAGTCATTTTCTCATTTTCAGGGTTTGGTTGTTCTGAAATATAAGAGTCGATGAAAAATGATTTTCGAAGTCAATAGAAATAGAAGATGAGCCTTATTTGGAAGAATCATCCTCATTTTTTGAAGGAAGACAACTATCACCTTTCTCCTACGTGTAGTTTTTTTTTTTTTTCATTTTTCAAACTTTCAACCAAATACTAGAAAATGAATTTATTTTCCAGAAATCGTTTTCCAAAAGGCATTGTACATATTCTTAAAAGGACCACAAAGTAAATAAAATGCACACAATTTCTGAAAACCCCAATGATCATGTGTTCAAATGCCATTCTGATATCCCATCAAAACTGAAGTTATGATCCATATAGAGTTAGTTTATTAGTGACCCTTCCATCTGTTCCTCCTCTCCTCTTGCCCCATTCTTCTTGCGGCCGGAGAGCGTGATGCATCATTGGATCGACCGGTGTGTCCATGTTTGAGAGGAACAATTGGCTTGATGTACGATAGCCCGGGGGAATGCCTCTTCTCTTTTGGGAGTGCTCGTAGCTCCGGACACCAGTAAGCTACAAACTCCCCTTCTGGATCATAGTTTTGTGCCTGAAAACATCACCATAATGATGAAGAAGAAGATGATGATGATGATAATGATGGTGATGGTTATGATGATGATGATGGTGATGGTGATGGTTATGATGATGGTTATGATGATGATGATGATGATGGTGATCCAAATGAAACACAACTTTGCAATAACTTGTACCTCATTTTATGGCATGTGACTCAAGCCAAGATGGCCATATACTATACCATAAACAGTGGAGATACTTCATGAGTCTTATTTATTATAGGTTTGCTCACATTCCTTTTGCATTTGAGACTAGTCAAGAGGATTGGTGCATATTGTGCAACATTTCTAGTATGAATGTGCACATGTTTGGAGCTAGTATAGTCTTGGAAAGTGTCAGTTCTCTTCCAACAAAAGTAATCAAAGGACTTTTTCCTAGAAAAGTGTCAATTTTCCTTTTCTCAAATCCCCCATCCATATGTTTCCACATTTCCCATCCGTGTGATTCGAACCCATGACCTACCGGTTGCTGAGCGGCCCTCACTCATCAATCAACTGGGTTCTTTATTATACCAAAGACAGATAATTTTATGGACTGAATGAACCAAAGATAAATATTTTATTGATTAAGAGACCATTTTTGTTCTACACTTTTCATTTTCTATTATACAATTTCCTTGAAAATTGGAGAAATAAAAGGTTCTCTCGCAAAATCCATCATTTGCTGCCCATTATACACGGCATCGTGTGTTATTACTAAAAATCCTACATTTTTCCATCTTTAGTATAGGTAATCACTCCTTAGCATTGGTGTAATATAAAGTTCAAAACTTTGGGTATTATTAGAGCAAAAACTGATATTACCACACACAGAGATAGCTATAACATTTCAGGCACACTTACTTGCTTTGGAATGCTGAAATAACGATCCTCTCTTGGGTCATTGCCAACACCTGAGTGGGGATAAAACAAATTTAAAAAAAATTGAATCGAAAGATTGAATTAAAATGGCAAGTGTAGCGTCAGGGGAAGGATATATATATATTCTCAAGAAACCACTTTGTAAGCATAATGTTCTTCAATTTAAACCCCATTTTTGACATGTTGACATTTAAGAGATTTCTATGCGGGGAGTTCGTACCAAGAGGGAAAATATGTTACCAAAAGAAAGTTACTTTTTTCTTTTTGGGCTGTCCCAACTCCCAAAATAAATTTTACGCTTCTTTATTTTCATTCGTATTAAAGAAATAAATATGTGGCTCACATCATTTCTCTTTCATCTATACAAATTCCAACCACACTTTACACTTTTCTTAACCTCCGTGAAGTGAAAGTGTAACTTTCATTTAGGGATTGAGGGGAGAAAATAATTAAGTATAGACTTTATATTGAACCTGGAGTAAATATAGACTACATATATATATGTCACAAATATGAGGAAACAGCAGAAGTTGCTAACAAATTCACGATGAAGTTTTTAATATCAACGCATTGGGTTCCGGAGGAAGTTGTTAATATGAACTCTTTGGAAGAATCAGTTCTCCAGAAGAAGGTGAAGGATGACCACTCGATAACATCATTTTGAGAAGAAAAAGAGGTAACTATATCATGGTAGTGTAAAAAGAGGTTAATCACCTGCACCGTAAGTCCAATTACCATAATTGGAGCATGGATCATAATCCAAGAGGCATGTCTCAAACCATTCAGCCCCCATCCTCCAGTCAATGCCCATATCTCGAACAAGGAAAGAACAAACAATCTGTCAACATGAAATTACGTGTCAGAGAGTTCCATAGTACACCGGACATATTGGCTGTTCAGCAGGAATATGATGTTCCTCATTTTGTTAAATTTAAGGACAGGAACTGTTTCATAAAGGTTGTTTCAATTAATACCCTTATCTACTAGCTAAATAAAGGGAAAAGTACTACCTGACGTCCTCGATTTGACATGAATCCAGTAGTAAGAAGTTCTTTCATATTGGCATCAATTAGAGGGTACCTGATGTTTAGGTTGTGCAAATTGAATTAGACATACAACGCCGCCACCACCAAGTAGCTGTGATCAGTATCATTAAATATCTAATGTCAATTAATTAATTAATTGCCTAAAAGTAGTTCAGAGTATAAATCATGCAAACAAAGGTGTCAGTTTGACACTGTGCCTTTTCAAGTTACAACCTTCTTATAAAGGAACAAAAAGACTAATTTCAAAACCTTCTTATCATGAGATGGAGATGAGTTAAGATGGTTGTTTTAGTCATATCTCATTTCAAGACTGTTGAAACTTTCTTGTTACACTGTTCTTATTTGGGTGAATAGAAAACGAAAAGGAGAGATGTTGGAAGCGAAGAAACGCGAGAGGAAAATTGAAACAATGGGATATACAATTGGAGTGCTGGATAGCTGAAAAAAGGTGTCTATTCAGCGTGTGGATAGAGAGTGTACCCAGTCTGACCATTTTTCCAAGCTTCAAACAACCTCTGGTCTTTGCTCCAATTGTTGGTTAAATTACGAGGCCCACCTAATGCAAATACAGGAGGAGCTACGAATAAGATTGCGGTAATTCGGTAAACTTGGTAATAGAAACACATCATGAATGATTATTTAGCAGGAGCAGATGGGTAGAAACCAGAAGAGTATGAAGAGGTTTGAGCCATATGTTTCACAAAAAAGTTAGTGCAAGTGTTCAGGAAGTGTCCCTGCTATCTATGAGTCAACGTAGTAATATTCACATATACATGTAGGAAAATAAAAATAACAACACGTTTTACCTGGATGGAAAAGTGAATTACCCACTTTTATTGAGAGAAAAATAAAGTAATCCCTCCACATCAGCTCGAATAAAACCCTGGGGATAGAAATATTTTTTAGCAATGGTAAATAGATTAAAGTTTTAGAGTAATGCAAAAAGGTCATGTCCCAAATCTCTGGATCATTCTCTTCACAAGATAGAGTCATCACGCAAAAACTTGACAAATAAGAGGAAGAGAATAAGCAATTTGATACCAATATGTTGACACATTTGATAGTCTTTCCTTCTCATATCTCTTGACCTTGAAAATTCAAATTGAAATTTTAGTAAAGATGAGTGTCCTATCACCGTAAAAGTGTATGGGTTTGATTCAGAAAGCAAAGGAAATTATCGGAGCTCAAATATCATAATTTGGCATATCATTTAAAAGACAAGAATCTTTTTTGTACTTCAGCATGAATTAGGCGAGGAGAGAGGCATCCGGTAGCAAGCCAAGGAGAGAACTTAGTTGAATAATCAGGTCCTAGCATTCCATTTCTGGTTTCTTTATACATTTTTAGCAAATCCTGTTGCGAAAATCATATAAAAATATTTATTTCATTCTAGCCACAACATATTAAAAAGCATGCCAAATACAATCAACTTCTATTTTGATTAAGAGGACAGATACAATTATTACATATACTATGATAGATAGAACTTATTCAAGGGACATATAACCAATTACTTAAATCTTCTAGGAACCAAACATAGAAAAAAGATAAAGTCCCATGCCTTCTTCCAAAAATACTCATGTACTCTGGCGAGAGCTGCAATTTCACCACCCATAAACTTCATCCCTTTGGATACCTGTAAAATTGGATCTGAGCGACGCAGGCATTGTATATGCGGCATATTATATGCCAAAGGTATATTTGGATGGGTGGGTTTGGAGAACTTAGTCTATATCTTGATATATCTGTGTCTATGTGATTTTATTGAAAAATATATTGATTGATATGTGATCGTGAGGCATTTCAATCACCTTTTATTCATTTTAAGAAACATTCTATTTACAAAGATATATATCGAGCCTCTATACCGAGCCTTCCAAAACCCTTCATCCAAACAAACTCTAAAGAAAACATTGCTTCTTCTCATCAATATTAATAAGAACCTACCTCGGCTGGCTGAAGCCCAAGATCGGCCACTTCAGGAATGGATCCCCACTCTAGAATATTGGGAGAAGGACCAAGTGATGCAGGAATCTTTATGCAATTCCGAATTATCGATTTGGATTCAACAGACTGTAATCACAACCTGCCTGGATGTTACAAGCCTTTCCTCACATTGAAAATGTTGGCTAAAGCATACTGCAAAGAAGGACAAGTACCTTACGGAATTGGGTATATACGTCTGGTAAGTCCTTACTGTTGAACGGAAGGTCATCAATATGGTACATACTGCAACCCCATATAAGTTCTAACCTGGTAGGAGTAGTAACATTCTTAGAATACGAGCATGGTTGTATGACATTTCCCAAGTTCTTGGACACTGCCTTTTCAACCTTCAGCTCCTCACTGCATGTTCCCTTTTGGGCATAAACCTGCCACAGTAAGAACAGGCATTTTTTCCATAAACAAAGGAACATTTTGAACCAAGAATTTCCATAAACAGACACACCAAAATAATAAGTACAAAGATGCCTTAACTGTGTGAGCATTATAGGTCTTTGCAAGTGAGGGTAGAATCTCCTCAGGTTCCCCGTGCTGAATGAATAGGTTAAGACCCCGTTTCATTAAATTCCTCTTCAAATCAGCCAATGACTGTATGATGAATTGAGCCCTCAAGGCTGCCAAAAAAGAATGCTCTTATAAAATATTTGGCCAAAGTTTTTACTCCCAAATTCATATAAACACAATATAGTTCTTACTAATGGTAAATCCATTCTTACACCATCAAAACCAAGACATCCTGGAGGGATCTTATGTAGCACCTTTTCAAATCAATTCACCTCAAAGTAGTACAATTAGCCGATGAAACTCCTAAATATATTCCGTGTATAACCATAAATGAAGCACAAATATGCACAACAACAACAACAACAACTTTACCCCAGTGCCTCAAAGGCTCCCACCCATTGCGAGGTGGGGGGGGGCAGATGTATGCAGTATGCCCTATGGTTAAAACATAGAATGGCTATTTTCGGATGACCCATGACGAGCATTGAAAGTTGCTTTGACGGACTGTTACTTCACTATAGAAAAAGAAGTGCAGACAGTTCTAAGAACCATTTTGCTTTATTCCATCACACCCAAAGCCAAAAAATAGTGAATCTTTGGTTGGCTCCCTCGGAGATGATGGAAGAAAAGCATAAATATGCACTAAACTTCTAAAATTTTTGCTACGATAAAAATACACTCTACATTTGGATTTCAACTGATATATATAGCACTGTTACAGTGAGCACTGAGAACAAAGAGAGTATCAAAGGAAATGAGAGTTGATTGAGAGCTAAAATCACCTCCGGTTTTGGGGAAACCAAAGTAATGAGTGGTAGAGAATAGCCTGGGATCCACGCAGTAGACGGGCAACACGGAATCTGAAGAAACCCAAGCTTTGTAGAGAGCCTCATTGTCCAAAACCCTCAAATCATTCCGGAACCAGAAAATCGCCACCCCTTTTCCTCTACCGGCGGCATCCTTCGCCGACGAGCTGTACCTCGGAATGATCTCCTCCGCCGTCGCTCTCTCCATCTCCTCCCGACTCAGTCCCGGAACCTGGTACGCCGCCGCCGATCTGGATGAAGACATGTTTGCTAGGAAGTTGCGAGTGAGGAGGAAGAAAGCCGGCAGTTTCCGATTCGTGAAATTGAGCGCAGCGGATCGCGGCGTCGCAGAGATGGGAGGGCGGAGCATGAGCAGAAGCGTTTAATTAATCGTTGGTAGAGCGTTTTTTATTGGCAGTTAGCTTTCTGTTTCCCGTGGCGCTCTCCCAACCAACGGTTTTACGTACCAATGTTCTCTTTTTTCAAGTACTTCCTTCTCCCCAAAATATTTACAGCTTTTTCCGTAGTCAGTACAACTTTTATTTATTTTTAGGTTTTCATTCGTTATTTGATTAAATAAAATATTTTTGACACTTCTTATTTTGAAGAACTTTTCATGTAATTTTTTATATGTAAATTTTATTTTTTATTTCTATACCAATATGTAAATAAAATGAATTAAAAACTTGATATTTTATCTCGGGAATACAAGTGTTGCAAATATTTAGGGACGGAGGGAGTAAATTAATCACTTGGGCTTTATTTTACGGAGTATTATTTTTTACAGCATATTTATGTTTTAAAATTAGTTCTAAATTTGATTTTTAAAAACTATTTTCATAACAATTTGAATGATAAAAATATAAATTTATATTAAACTTTAAAATGTCAAGTAATTAAAATGATAAATACGGAGTATCTAACAAAATTAGGCCCTAAAGATTTAGGGACCCTGTGCGGGTAATCACCTTGCAAACCTTTAGGGTTGTCCATGTTATGTATGAATTCTCTTCTAATTATACAAATATCGATGGACGTTGCACATGCAGTAGACAAAAGTAAAGAGTGCTAAAGAAGTAAAACTTGAGTTCGATTCCTGACAATTGCGCTGAGATGTAACTATTCTAATTATATAACCTTTGCAAGTATCAGCGGTATGTTTCACTTTCTGTCACCAATATATATGCGATTAAAATCCAAGTTACCTTCTTTCAGTGACCGTCTGATCAGTTCTGAAGAAATCTTCGAAAACGAGACTCATTGTTTTTTTATGAGGATAGGAATGTAAATCCTTATTTTAGATACAATAAAATTTGAAGCACTCCAAGTTCGACACCATTTTGCATATTAAAGGAAAATACATACACACATATGTGTGTGCTCTGAATAGACATGCCTCGATATTCAACTTGGGTGGGGTTCCCATGACATTGGGCTTCAATGTCATGGGATGACTCGGGGGCGCTCCGGTGCCCCGTTCGTAAAATTGACGGTTCCTACCCCCCTAACCCCCCAGTAAACCCCTCCACCCCGCCCCGACCCGAACACCACCCCCCTACCCCCGTCAATTGCACCCCACAAGTTGATTTTGACTTTGGTGTCAAAATTTGACTCCAAAGTCAAAATCAACTTGTGGGGTGCAATTGACGGGGGTAAGGGGTGTGTTCGGGTCGGAGCGGGGTGGGGGGGTTTACCAGGGGAGTTAGGTGGGGTAGGAACCGTCAATTTTACGAACGGGGCACCGGAGGCTCCCGGGTCATCCCATGACATTGGAATCCAATGTCATGGGAACCTTGGTGATTTAACTTTGATGCATAAAATAGTGTGCAACTTGAGATACCTCTATCATCATCCATTTTAGATATGAGAAAAATAAATTTGAGAACTAAAGGTGTTCTCTCTTTAATTTGTTTTTGTTTCTTCATTTCAATTTATTCTTATTGAAATCAGATAAAATCAAGAGTAAATTTAAATATAACTACAATCAAATCATATTAGATCGAACATTAATAAAATAAGATCAGACCCAATCAAATAACACGAAGAAAACAAACTCTTATATTATCAATTCCAAAAAGATGGACACATTTTCACTATTCAAAATTTAAGAAAATTTTTGTCTATTTATGTATTTTCATTGATTATTCGATAAAATTAATTATTCTTGTAATTTTTTATTTTCAAATATAAAAGTTTTATTTCTTTATTGCTATATTATTCTTTGTGCCTACAATCCAGTGTCAAATTTGGGGGCTGCCACAACTCACAAAACAATAGTGGCAAAATCACAGGCGGAGAGTGCCGCCAACAAAACAATAATGGCAAATTCACAGGCGGCAATCTGCAACGTCTTCGTCTACGGCAGCCTTCTAGCGGACGACGTCGTTCGGGTTCTCCTCAGCCGCGTTCCTCATTCTTCCCCGGCGGCCCTCCACCACCAGTTAAGTCTCGTCCCAGTTCCTTCCCATATTCCATAGCTTCAATTTGTGTCCCACTCTGTAATTTGCGCACCAACCGACGGATGATATCTGTTGGATTTGCCCAAATTGATTCGATCTTCCATAGTAATCCTCAGTTCATTCGAGCTTTCAACAGTCTGAAGTGGTTTTAATATATATATATATTTGCCATTTAGGTTCTTCAGAAGCTCTTCGTCACTTTAATTTTGAAGAATGATATCCCTTTTCGCCATCTGTTAAAATCTAGATTCGCTTGAATTGATTAGGGTTTTCACAGTCACACTCAGTTCATCAGTCTTCATATTATCCATTTCAGCCATGTGGTTTCATACACTAGCACTTAGATTGACATCATTTCTGTGTGTTGTTTGTCCCATGACGCCTTTGCAGTGGAAGATGGAAAATTTTCATAACCAATGTTCAATCTTCGCCTTGTGATCATATACTTGCCCTCAATTAGTATCTTTTCCTTTCATTTTTAGTTGCAACAATGTTCTCAGCTGGAACCTGCTTTGTGATAAATAATGATGCACTCATTTTTGTATTCACAACTTTTGGAACATCTTCGAATTTTCTGGTTAAATTACATATATAACTATTTAAATTTCAAGCAGGCCATTTGTCTAATGTGCTCTAATTTGCCATGCAGTCATAGATTCAGCATCAAGGGGCGTGTGTATCCTGCAATCCTACCTGTAGAAAACAAGAAAGTTAATGGAAGGGTTTGGTTCTTCAATCTCTGCATTCGTGATATTCGTGTGCACACCAAAATAATACCAACATCCTTAACATGTCTTTTCAAGACTATCAATCAGAAAAATACGTTTTTGGCATATTTTCCTTTTTATATTTTTTTTTATGGACGGCTAATTTGGAACTTAATGCAATTGAATGCTCTCCATTGGTTTCAATTAACAAAAGCGGGCACCGGGTTCAATCGCTTGCTCACATTTTTTATTTGACCACACAAGGCAATCGGAAATGCTTGGTGGAGGTGAGCAAGTGAGCCTTGAGTTTACCATTGAGAAGGATAAAAGGGAATGAAAGGGCTCTAAATTAAAGATAAAAAGGAATGAAGTCGTGAACTAAATGAACTGAGTTTGATATGTCTTTATTAAGATCACTAAATGTCGCATCTAATGTACAACTATTAAAAATTAGAACACATTGTTTCTCGTTAGCATTTCCAAGTTAATTTGTCACAGGTTCTCCTGGGGATCACTCTTCCCGAATTGGAGATCCTTGATAACTTTGAAGATGTTGAATATGAGAGGAGGACTGTTGATGTTTCTTTGATGGTGAGTATCAAACAACTATCGATTGCTTAATGTGTTCGAATGTGTGTGTGTGTGTTAAAGACCGAGCAGTCAAGTGCTTCTGGGAAAGAATGTTCAATATGGTGGCCTGGATCTGATAAAGAACCATGTTATGTGAATTTTGTATTTGAAAGATGCAGTCTTGAAAACTTTGTTTTCTAAAATATGAAGATGATTGTGCGCCACAGTTCTTCTTTACAAAATATCCATTTCCTTTTTTATTCAGTTGCATTTTCCAACTGTGTGCTTAGAAATGTATTCATGGACTTTTTCACAGGATGGTTCTGAGATCGTTCAAGCTTATACATATGTTTGGGCAGATAAAACTGATCCAGACTTGTATGGAGACTGGGACTTTGAGGTACTTTGTTATGGATTTTCTTGCCTGCTGCACTAATTTGTTTGCATATGAAGTCTTTATAGGAATTAATGTATTTTTTTAAATCAATATTTGCTTACATGTTTTGGGGAACACAAAATCTTGGATGTGATTCATTTTACTAGTTAGCAATGCCAAAGACCTCTAGGGCGTGTGGTTTGGGTAACTTGACACTTGTAAGATTCTCTTGTATGGTTCAGGTTCTCAGATTACCAGATAACATGAAATTACCTTCAGATAGAAGTATAGTGTAATGTCGGGACTAATCTGATTACCTTGTAGTTAGTTTCTTAAGTATTGTATGCTTATTGGTTATTATGCTGGTAATATTTTGGACATTTCTGACTTTATTTCTAACAATTTACCGAGTAACAAAATAAGAAATATTAGATCACCTTAACCAAACAACTTAAGGTATTCTTACATTTCAGGTAATAGTATGGCATTGTCATTGTTGTCTTTTCGGCCAACTACAAAAAAAACTAACAAACACAAAATAAAGCATTGGGTTATACCCCTATTTGACTTTTTATGTTGAAATCCCCAAGTCTTAATATTCTCATTATATTTTCTATGCAATTTGGAGAAAAACCTTATGATGATGATGATTTTGGAACTTCTTCTTATTATTTCTTAGAAGGTTCGACACAATAAGGCACACTTGTTTTAGTGTGAACTAAGTTAAGACAATCAACACACTTTAAACTTCATGCGACCAACCTTAATAAAATTGAGATTAATGTAAACAAGAAGTATTATACTGTGTATGTGTGTGTTCAATTTCCTCCCGTCCCTGCTATGAATGGACACACTTGTTTTAGCAGGAATGGAAGCAAGTGCACATGAAAGACTTCATGAGAATGACGACGGGGTTTATGGAAGAAATGGAACAACCGAAATCGAAGACAAGGGTGCAAACTTTTGAATCCTTCAACAAGCAAGACGTAAGTTGAACATTAGTAGAACGGACCAGTTTATCACTGTATTTTCTTTCTTTCTNTCTTTTAAACATATATGTTACCTTAATCTCCCGCCACTTGTAGTAAAATTTAGATATCTATAGACCCTACTCTTGTGAGATTTTACTGGGGGGGGGGGGGTTGTGTCGTTATTACAACAAGTGTAATTTATTACGTTGCGTAGCGGGCTATATGCTACCGAGTACCCGTAGTGAATAATTGGTGTGGAGGAATTGAATGGGATTTTACTCCCTTTGCAAATTTACAAATTTCTACCGGATTAAACTCGAGAAGTTTTGATCAAATTCTCACATGAATGCTCTTAGACAAAGACTCTTTTGCGCCATTACATTCTACCATACTTTGCAATATCTTGGTACTCTGTATTCTTTTTTGTCCCAAATTACAAATTTTCTCGATTTTAATTTGAAACCATTATTTATTTTGATCATTAATACCTCGGTTACAATGTAATATATATTCATATTTTTTTACAACTTGTTGAGGCTGAGAGGGTTACTGCTCTCAATAAGGTTTTCAGAGAGTTACTGCTCTTAATAGGATTTGAACTTGTGACTTCTTATTTAAAATAACGTGTTTATAATATTTATTCATAACCAATGACATTTATACATAATAAAGTTGCTTTCTATGAAGATATTACTCCGTAAAAACAAGAGAAAGTAAAAACATAATCTTCTAGAAGGAATAAATTCTTGCATGGACTCTAATTCATACCTCCAAGTATAAAAAATATTGATTTCCTCATTTAAGTAATAAATTATTTTAAGAATATATATTCTTATTTTTTTCTTTTTATTAATTAATTTATATATTAAAAATACATAATGAACCATAGTTTATAATTAAAAAAAGTTGTGTTTTTTTTACTCATCTATACTTGAAAAAAGTTAGAGATACAAGTAATGGTGGAGTCAAGTAAAGCCAAAACATGGAGTGTGATTTAGATAAAATTTATTTTGATCATTAATACCTCGGTAGCATCAGTGTTTTGATCATTAATGGGAACGTATTCAATTTTTCGATTAGCATCAGTGTTTTAGATAAAATTTTAATGGTGTAGATTTTAAATCTGAAAACGCTAACGCTAAAGATTACCGTCATATAACTTTTTCAAAACACTAACCGCTAATTTTTAAAGCTGGTGCCAAAGAAGGCCGTCTTGATGTCTTTTGTGGATGAGACAATAGTTTTTATTTTGTTCATCGCTCTTCAACATGAGCTACTCATTCTATGGAGTGGGGTTTATCGTACCTCTTCTTTAATTTAATGGACATCACGGTACTCCGTTCGAAAAATTAATGAACATCACGGTCTAATCCCATCGATAAACCCCCCAACTCGGCTCGATCCGAACCCACCCCTCCCCCGTCAATTGCACCCCCACACTCTTCATACTTTACCACATGAGTAACCCAGTCATCCACTTTCTATACCATCCTACCTGTATTTTTCCCCAATGGACCTGAAACCCATCTTTTACCGGCGACCGGCGTCTCTTCTTCCGCCTCTCACTGGCGGCAGCAAATGGCGGAGGAGCTAAAAAACGGTATTTTCCGATGCATTTGCAGATGGCCGTATCGTTCTCGTGTGGAAGAAGATTCGCCATTTCTGCGAAACCTTCTAGAAATCTGTCTGCTCTGGCCTTCTCCCAAGCTTCGCTGGCAATCACAAATCAGTCCGAGCAAAGCCGCATTTCAAGCAGACCCTCAAAACGCGGCTCAAGTAAGTCTTCTTCGGGCTCCCAATCGGGATCTAGGCTCGCCAAAAACTCCATTGACATTCTGCACATTTCTGAAATACTGTCGAGAAAAGACTGGTATCTGCTGCTAAACCACGAGTTTAGGGCTAAACGGGTGAATCTGAATCCTCGATTGATCATCAGCGTTTTGCAAAACCAAGAAGACCCATTACTCCCTGTGAGGTTTTACACATGGGTTTCTAACATCAACTTCAACTTCGCTAAAAATCAGTCAATTCGTTCTGTTCTGGGTAATGTTCTGTACAGAAAAGGCCCGGTTTTGCTGTCTGCTGGATTAGTTCAGGATATTCAAGATTCTGGGCATAGGGTCAATGAGGATTTGTTGTGTGTTTTGATTGGGAGTTGGGGAAGATTGGGATTGGCCAAGTATTCTGCAGAGATTTTGGAGCAGGTTTCATTTTTAGGTCTAAATCCAACTACTAGGTTATATAATGCCGTAATTGATGCATCGGTTAAGTCCAATTCGCTAGACTTGGCTTATTTGAAGTTTCAGCAAATGCGAGCTGATGGTTGTGTTCCAGACAGGTTTACTTATAACATTCTCATTCATGGAGTTTGCAAAGCAGGTTTAATGGAAGAAGCTATCCGGTTAGTGAAGCAGATGGAGGAGGGGTCACGGTATTCCCCCAATGTATTTACTTATACGTCCTTGGTTGACGGGTTCTGTAACGCAGGTCAGGTGAAAGATGCTTTTCAGATGATCGAGACGATGAAGGGTAGGAATGTGATCCCAAATGAAGCCACTCTAAGAGCATTGGTGGGAGGGGTTTTTCGTCATTTGCCACCACTTGATGCCTTTGAGATGTTGTACGGATGGCTTGAGAAGGAACCGGTTTTGCCTAAGGTGGCGTGCGATGCTATTTTAAACTGTCTTTGTGATAATTCCTTGCCAACGGTAGCAGGTGAGTTTTTGAGGGAGTCTTTGACACGCGGATACTTACCTGATAATCAAACGTTTAACAGTGCCGTGATTTGTTTAATCAAGGGATTAGAGATTGAAGTGATCTGTCAAAAGTTAGAGTTTTTTAATGGCCGGGGCTTGAAGATGGGCTTTGATGCTTATCTATTGCTCGTTGGAACTCTTTATCAGAAGGGAAGAGTGGAAGAAGGGAATCTTTATGTGGATCAAATGTTCCAAGAAGGGCTTGTATCAAACACATTCTCATTCAACATGTTGATTCACTGTTTCTGCAAAAATAAAATGATGGACCGAGCTTCAAAAACCTTTCAGGATATGATTGTAAGTACTCCCTCTGTCTCAAAAAGAGTGTTTTGATCAATATGTGCCTTCTTTTTTTAGTTTTAACCAAGTGCATTGTTTCTCTTTTTTGGAAAATTAAAGCTTGACATATGATACAAATGCATTGTTTTTTCATATTTTGTTTCCTACTTCTTCACTTTTTATACAATATACAATGCCCCATCACATTATTTTTGAACACTGCAAAAGCCTATAGGAACAATCAATCAAAGATGGATGGAGCATATAAAATTCATGTGTTGACCTAACTAAATATATCCAAAAAGTTACTCCCGATGACGTTGGTTTTGTCGTAAGAACTCCAAAGTCCTATTCTTTTAAACTCACCAAGAGCCTTGGAGTTCTTGCTGCAAAACCAACGTCACTCGGGAGTAATTTTTTGAAATTTATCATTGGCAATTTATTTGTCTCTTTTTAAAAAATTACATGAATAATTAGTTTTGTTTGATCAAATATGGGTTTTTTAATGTAAAACATTTGACTCTTCTTATAGGATGGAGGGAGTCATATTCAACCAAATCTCGTCACATTCAACACGCTCATTGACGGGCATTGCAAGCTAGGGGACATAACACGCGCCCGGGAGCTTCTAGTGATGCTCTTGGAGAAGGGGTTGAAGCCGGACGCCTTCACTTTCACCTCCATAATCGACGGTCTTTGTAGGGCCCACCGGGTCGAGGACGCGTTCGGGTGTTTCGCGGAAATGGAGGAATGGGGCGTGTCCCCGAGTGCGACGACGTACAACGTCTTGATCCGCGCGCTCTGTGCCATAGGAGAGGTTCGGCGATCAATGGAGCTGTTGAAGAAGATGGAAGAGGCTGTTGGGGTGAGGGGAGATGTTTTCACATACAATGCTTTGATCCAGGGCTTGTGTAGGGTGAATGAGATTGAGAAGGGCAAAAGGGTCCTCAAGACAATGTCAAGATTGGGATTGAGGCCTGATAATTATACTTATAGTGCCTTTATTAAGGCATTGTGTAGGCTAGGGAGGTTTGGTGAAGCTAAGGCCTTGTTTGGCTCCATGGAAGTGAATGGGTGTGTTCCTGATGCCCATACTTGTAACTCCTTTATATATATGTTGGTTCAGTCTTCTCGGCTTGAAGAAGCCAAACAGATTTTTGTTAATTTCAGCAAGAGGGGAATCCCTCTCGACCCTATAAAAATTGCTACAACATAATACTCATGTCTTCGTTTAGCGTTAACATTTTTAATAACTTTTTAATAATGCAATGATACATATTAATTTTGAATATACTAATGCTAAAAATGTTAGCGTAAGATTACATTTTCAAGATACCAAAGCTTATTCCGTACGGAGCATATATCTATCTCCCAAAAAATTCTTGTTCAATGTTCTTTTGTCCGAATTTAAATTATCTATTGTTGCTTGCGAAATTTGGTTGAAATTATTTCTAATACAGTTTAGTTGAAAATTGATACGAAATTAAAATATAAAATTATATATTTAAAACTAAATCAAAAGATCTATAAAACAAGATGTGATGAAAGTATATAATTTTATCAAATGAGTAGTGAAAATAGATAAAGAACGCGGTTAAATTTTGATCTTGAATAGTAAACAAACAACTTAAATTAGGACAAATGGAGTACTTATAAGAACAAATTTTGACTTATTTTTTAAGTATATAAATTTAATTTTAGAAAAAATTATACTTCCTCCGTCCCAATTTAAATCGCCTGTTTTAATTTTTAAACATATTTAAGGAAAATAAAAAATAGAGTTGATTTTTTGAAATTGACATTAATTTTTAGGAGGGGTGATGATGAATGAAAAGATAAGGTGAAGAGTGACTTATTTTAGGGGTAGTTTAAGTATTTTATTTTTAAAAGTTTACGAAAACAACTAATATGCAACTTCTTTTGGGACAGAGAAAAAAGGTAAACAGACAATTTAAAATGAGACGGAGGGAGTACGTAGCATTTATTTTCAAAGAAATTAAGTTAAAAATAATTTTGACCAAGAATTGTACGAGTAATTGATAATAAGAAAGTCTATTTGGTACAAAGATAGCATTTTCAAAGTATTACTAGTTTTTTCGTTTGTTTGTGGACGCTAGAAATAACAAATCTTAACCATTCAATTTATCAATATTTTCATCACTTTTTTTTATTATTTCTGTGATATTAAAATGAGCAAATTATTTTGGTATATAATAACGAAATGAAAGTGGATACACAGACGATTGTATTTTAAGTGAATTTTAAGTAACCAAACTCTTAGAGTCTGTTTGGTA